GAACTATGTGCCCTGGCGGAGAGGATTTGTCGACTCAGAGAGTTTGATTATCATGTGGCCGTATTGATTCGTATTGAAGAAATGCTGTGTTGGGTGGTATACCATGGTATACCATGGTCCATGGTATACCGTTATCTCATTCAGGTACGGTTTGTTGACCTTATGGATTCTGTGCAATATAAATATCAAAAGCGGCCAGCGGCACAGATTCTGCACGGATCCCAGGAATCCCTGAAGCAGTACCTGGCTTCGGAGTTGCAGATCGGCGATCGGGGTGAAGGCGGCGAGAAAATGCTGGTCCGGGGTTCTCAGCCCAACAAAAATGGAAATTTGTGACCAATGAAACTCCATGAAATTTGGGTGCCAAAGATTACAAGCTTCTTTGAACCAGATGTTTGTGGTGATTTGAGATTTACATGGGGATAGGACTTGGGCCTGGCAAATAAGTTGACTGAAGTGGGTGCCCTGTGGGAATCGCGTGCTGGCGATGGCGAAATCCTTCGAACCTGGTCCATGTGACACCATTGCTGGCATCCACTGGTTACCAAGATATCAAACATGCAATTCGCTATGGGCAAATGAACTCAAAGAGGGACTATATAATTAGAATAGACTATAATGCTCATGCACACACGTATGTACGTATGTGTAATGTGTGTATGTGTGATATGTTTATATTGTAATATTTTTGACATACACAAAGCTCAACGCCAAAAGGCAGTCATTCCTCGGTTGGACCTCTTTTGCGCTGCATCAAATCCTCATTTGTGCAGGTCATTGGGGCCCCATGTGCATATACATTCCTGACATTCATTGCGTTGCAGTACGAACAAAAACATTGCATCATATTCCACCGCGTTACATACATTACCATGGATCAAACTACATGACATGAGCCATGGTCAAGACAATTTGAACTCTTCATGGCTCATTTGTGCCCGCCATCCGTGCCTGGGGCAAGTGAGTGTAGTTAACTCTACATGCTGCGCGTCAAGACATTATTTATTTTCCCGTACAAAGGGATGGTCAACTTCTCCATTTATAGGGGTAGTATATATTTAATGTACCCATTACATCCCAGTACAATAATTCCATATTAGCAATAACATCACGGCACACATGGACATTAATGGATAACAAGGCCTACAACAATCAATAGTATTAAACACATAAAATCATGAAATCTCATTGCTGAATTTGACTACATCCTCGCATTGATGCAGGTGAAGGTTTGAAAGCGGGGCGCTTGCACTTGGTGCTTCTGGGGGAGGAGGCTCGAAACCGGCCAGCTGGGCACAAATGGGTTGGGATACCCCGACCATGGCATGACTCGCTGCGCAATTAGGGTTTCCTCTTTGTCTGAAAGAGTGGGAGGGAGCCCACAGATCAATTGAAAACACTAATGCTGAGCTGCTGAACCATGGGATTTTGGTGTTGCAAATTTTGAGACAATAGACTTGGGTTTACCGATTGACCAATTTGATTAGGGAAATTTGCAGGAAACCGTGTTCCCATTTGTCCTCAAACGAGTCTATACAATGAGTTGACGAAGGTGTTAAAGGAGACCGCTCTATGCGAAGCGGACCATTTCCATGTACTGGATTGACTTAGGTGGAAGAATTTATCCATTGAAACATGTTGAAACATGAAACGCCAAGGCAGGGCCTCAGGGGATCTCAGGGCTCAGTCCCAGGCAATGACCAGCGCAGGGAGCGAGGAACGGTTTCATCAGTTCCTGAGCCGATGGCCATAGATTCCATAGATGGCCTGGATGGGTGTGGATCAAAATTGGGATACCCAAAAAGGGGATCTTTGATGATGTACCCTCTGGTTATTTAACATAACCATGGAAAATCCCTTATCAATGGAGGTTTTAATGGGAACATCATCTATAAATGGGCCATTTTCAATAGCTATGTTAAATTACCAGAGGGTATGTTTTTATTTTTTGAAAAAGTGTTCCCCAAACAGCATGGCCTTACGAAAAGCATCCAAAAGCAGCTGAGCCTTACTCAATAATTAGGGCTTCTCACATCAATGGATATCAATGGCAAAGTCTGTGAACTTCATGTGACGACTCGGAAATGGGACGGTCAATGAGTTCATGTGTTGACCATTGACCTGCGAAATGCTTCTGAAATGTTTGACTGTGTTTGACCCAAATTCACAGGCGAGGGGTCATAACCATAATTGCTTAGTTCTCCTAATTATCCGCTTGGTTGGTGGTTTTAGGAATGTTCTATGTTCAACCCTGTTTTAAAAGGATTATCCCGACTGACAAGCATAGCTTCAGGGGTCTGATATCACATGATAGCATCAGCCAGACACATGATATATAATAGCATACATAATATTATACGTATATTATATACATAATACTTCTTTGATATTGTAATAATATCTTGTATACAGAGATATGTCAACCTCCCTGAAAAAATAGTATATACATCGTATATATACCAGTAGTACCGCACAAGGCGGTGGCGGAAGTTTCAGAATAGGAAACCTATAGGAGACGTTGGTTGTTGTGAATCACGGATGGCAGAGCGAATCCACTGATTGACCGAAAGGTGGTTGGAGTTGTGTTTGCTGGAGTGGTTGCAATGGTTGCAGTGGTCACCTCACCCACAAACTGCTGGATGTAGTGTGATGTACTGCAACTGTAGTTGTAGTTGTAGCGTAGTGGAGTTGTAGTTGTGGTTTAATGTAATTAGTGTAGTGTTGTTGCAGTCATATAGTTGTAGCTGTAGTTGTTTTGTAGTTGTAGTTGTTGTGTAGTTGTAGTTGTTGTAGTTGTAGTTGTAGCTGTAGTTGTTGTGTAGTTGTAGTTGTAGTTGTAGTTGTAGTAGTAGTAGTAGTAGTAGTAGTAGTAGTAGTAGTAGTAGTAGTAGTAGTAGTAGTAATAGTTGTTGTTGTTGTTGTAGTTGTTGTTGTTGCTGTTGTTGTAGCTGTTGTAGTTGTAGTTGTAGTTGTAGTTGTAGTTGTTGTTGTTGTTGTTGCTGTAGTTGTTGTAGTTGTAGTTGTAGTTGTAGTAGTAGTAGTAGTTGTTGTTGTTGTTGCTGTTGTTGTTGTAGTTGTTGTAGTTGTTGTAGTTGTAGTTGTAGCTGTGGTTGTTGTAGTTGTAGTCCTAGTTGTAGTTGTTGTATAGTTGTTGTGTAGTTGTAGTTGTTGTGGTTGGTGTTGTTGTTGTTGCTGTTGCTGTTGTCGCCGAAGTTAGGGTAGTTAAGTTAGTGAAGTTAGTTAAGTTAGTCAAGTTAGTTAAGTTAATCAGTGTCTACTTTTTGAACATCTTAACATCAAAAAAGGCTCAAAACCCCCAGTTTTTTACACTTTTGACTTCGAAATGTGCTTCGCGCCACAACGGCGTGCACTTTTTCAACATCCGAACCTCCAAAAGTGGTCGGAGAATGGTGTGTTTTGTACATTTTGACTTGGAAATGTGCTTCGCGCCACAACGGCGTGCACTTTTTCGACATCGCAACTTCCAAAAGTGGTCCGAGAATGATGTGTTTTGTACATTTTGACTTGGAAATGTGCTTCGCGCCACAACGGCGTGCACTTTTTCGACATCGCAACTTCCAAAAGTGGTCCGAACCTGGTGTGTTTTGTACATTTTGACTTGGAAATGTGCTTCGCGCCACAACGGCGTGCAATTTTTCATCGCTCTTGTGGCCAGCTGGGTCCGCACCCGCCGCTTTAGCGAGCCTAGTTTTCGACCCTCCGGAGCCACAAATCATTGGAAAAACACAGTGTTTCGCGACTTTTCTTTACCTTTTCGCGCATCTGTATCTTCTGCTTACTCTTTCTCTTCTGATCTTCTCTCTTCTAAGCTTCCTCTTCTCTCTGCCTCTGCCCTGCTCTGCTTTTCATCTGCCCATATTGTCGGAAGCTTGACTTCTAAACTTCCTTCGAATATTTAATATCAAAAAAATATATATATATATTTATTTATATTTATTTATTTATATTTATTTATTATAAGTGGCAGGGGTATACTTTTGTTATATGTAAAATGCCAAGCAATTCCTGACCAGGTTGGTGACAGAGCTGCACCAGCTCTTGAGACAGGCGCCTTCATTTGTTCAGCGCTGGTCACGTGGTGCTTTGAGATGTGCCCAGTCAAGTCCTGTTGGGTGCTCATTGTAATATATACGCATACAATCATATACATATTTATACAGACATATACATGTATATGTATATATATATTCACTTATAATTACATGTTACACATAATTATATACATTTATATCATGTCATGATAATCTTACAGTCTATAGAAATAGATACGGCGTTTAAAGATGTTGCCATTGATCACTGAAGATGTGGATTGGGCTTTGCAGGTGGAGGCGAAGCTCCAGTCTCTTGGGGCGTTGGAAGTGGTTCTGATGCTGCCGAAGCATCCCAGCCTGGGCAGCAATGCCGATGAGCCACGTTCCTTGAGGAAAATCCATGGAAACCGGGGGGATGTGGCGTACACACTGCAAATGAAACATGGAATCCTAACAGTTGGTCCATATCCCATGATAAAATCCTGCCGGGGACACTATTATGTTGAGATGTAGGCTCATCATGTCCTTCGGTAGCAATTGAAATCGTCCGGCCCAAAAAGTTGGTAGTTGGTAATAGTCATACAGAATTAAGGACGGAATATAGGTCTTCACCCCGTGGCCTAAAACAATTGTGTAGGGGAAAGCGGACCTTTAGGTCAAGAATCATGACCCTTGGGCCAAGATTGAATGAAACATTGGCCTTCAGGCAGTGCTTCAGGGACTGAGGATTTCAACATTTGTTGCTTTGCGACTATTGATCCTCATGGATCCCAATAGATCCCAATGGAACATGTCTGTTTGAATCGGCACCTCAACACCATCTAGATCTTCAATATTCCTCACGTGTACATATATTTACCCAAGAAGTATTGCTATTTCTATACCCATCCTATCATAAGATCACATGGGCTGAAGCCACCCACCATGAAATCACAGAATGGTCGCGAGGTTTTGCCTTCTTCGCCCAACGTGCCAGCTGGACAGAGGCGCTACTCGTGTTAATCAACAGTGAATTCCAGCTGGGAAAAATGGACATAGGCTGTAGACATGTATAATTAAGTTATAACAATGTATGACAAGCTGTGACAAACATCATGTCCATACTGTTTTGGTCATCTGGATTTAACCAAGCTTAGAGATCACCAGACTGATTCGATGGCTTGATATGATTCAACTTCAAAAATTACGGAACCAGCTGGAACGAGTGGCCCAAAATTGCCGACCCCAGATTTGACATTTTGACCCACTTGCCAAATAGAATCGAAGATGGAAAACTAACTCTATGGGCCCTATAGTGAAGAGCACATTCCCGTGACCCAGGTGTTCAGCTGTCGTGATCTGGGTTTCAACTTACCGTGTCTCTTAGAAGTGGAACGCCTTGAGGGTGCGAAGTTGGAGCGCCTGCCACCTGTGCCTGGGCCGATCCAGCAGGATATTCGAAAAGTTGACCCAAGATCAAATGGTAAGCTGGTTTTAAGACTTGTTTAAACATGTTTAAACATATTCATCCCACTATTGTTTCATGAACCATCCAACTGTGGAATTATACAAGCTTGATCCGCATCCATTTTTGCTTGCATCTTCCCATGTTTTGGTTCAGAGTTTAGATTGAATCTCCAATTTTGTTGCTTAAGCACCCCACAGATTTGCCATTGAAGTCTCTTCTTTTGCAGGATTACATTTTTTTGAGTGAGTTTCCATTGATGGGTATTTGAGTGAACTCATGATTCAAACTTAATATATAGTATTATATAGTATTACCCCCAGGCCGGGGGTGCCGTCCAGAGGTTTATCATGTGACCAACTCTTTAGGGTTTCATTTAGGGGTTCGTTTAGGGTTTGATGTAGATAGTGTTTTTTTGTTCCTCGGCTTTAATAGCTTTATTTTTTTTACTTTCAATGCTTACTTCGGGTGTTATGTCAGATTTAGATAGATTTAGGTTTCAGGGTTTAGGGTTTTGCATTTTGGAAACAAATCTCGTCAGCCATTTGGGCAATCCGCCGACATCCCAAAATGCATAGAACACTGACCCTGCGCATAAGAAAACACTTCCCCGGGCAGCACCCTCGCCCTGGCCATAATATTGTTTATGTGTTTTGCTAGCCTTTTACCATCACCCATATGATCCATGTATGCTATATATGGTAACATTTACCATCAATATACCCCCAATGTTAATATATATATATACCATACATGGATCCTATGGGTCATATCTCCGATGTTTCTACCAGAATATGTGGTTCAAAAGCTATCGAATCTCTCAGGTCTCCTCTGCGGATCCGCAGTCGGAGGTCTTCCTGGCCACGGGCGGCGGGTCGGCCAAGGTGGTCCACGTGCGTTGCTGGGCGAAAGGGATAAGCTACAGAGATTTTGAGTGGAAGCACTTGAAGAACCAATTGGAGATAAGCAATTTGATCATCTTTGATCATATTTTATCCATTTTGTTCAATGGATTTTTAAGAATCTTAATAACCAATGGGGATTCAGGATTTAATCATTTGAACATCGGGGATATGTGTGAAGTCAGTGACACTGGTTACGATGCCTTTTTAATCCTTTTTACGTTTTATATTTTTGAACCATGTGGGAGAGGATGATCAATATTCTGTAGGAGTGAAGTTTTGGGGGTTGCCGAAACTTGTGGGGGTGTTATCTTACTTGATGTAGTTTCGAAGGCGAAGAGTCACAAGATCACAGTGCCATGGGCACGTCCAATTTTTGAACGGGACAAGTTCTTGGAAGGGCCCTACCCGTATTTTTCAAAACCCACGTTTGAGTTGTAGATGATTCGTAGAAAGTAAATTCAACTCAGTGACTCCTGAAGTGAGTTGAATTATGTACAGTACTGGTCATGATCATGCATAATGATCGTGGAGATGTTGATATATATATACATATCCACAAATGATAACATGTGATAATAAAATAACTTTGACTAATTACCGCACCTAGCAAAAAATAAGGTTGGAATGTACATGATTGTATTAAACTGTTGTATGCAATAGATGAATCAGTGGGGATAACATCAAAGTCGTCACAGTCACAGCACAGTCGGGCGAGGTTCCGTGTCGCACAGCCGGCTGGGTTTTCAGCCCAGTAGCAACTCTTGGGTCTCGCGGCTCGAGGCCTTGCTGCGCCTTGGTTCAGCGCAGAAATGGCTGGGTAAAATATGGTAAAACCGTTAGCCCAAGCATCAAGGACATTTGAACGAAAATGACAGATTTATCCGAAAGCATTTCGAATGTGCAACTCTCCAACATGGGGATGAGATAGTGAAACATGAACTGAGTATTAGGGAAGAAATGGATAGAAATGGGGGATGATGCAAACTATGGGGTCTCTGTAGCTGGAGCAGGCAGTGGGGTTATTGGGCTCGACCCCTATCCCAAACCAACAGGTCCACAGCCTAGATGCTGTAGGTCAAGTTCACCTCTTCCAACCAACGCGCAGCAGCAAGCGCACAGAGCGCTATTTCCATGCACAAGGCCTCACAGGCCTGTCGCCAGGTTTGGCTTTCGCCAAGGAACTAAAAAGGGGCCCCTACCGAGCCGGATGCAACAGCATCGAAGGTTGAGGTGTGACCTGACATGGCCGGTGGAGTTGCACCAGCATAAAAGGACTTCAGGTCACAACTCACTGTACCATGGCTTGGTAGGGAAAAGATCGAACCGATCGGAACATCTCGAGAGCCAGCATGGATTGCGAGAACTGCTAAGTCTTCTCTGTGAAGTTCAGCAGCATTGATTGCAAACGCATCCAGCTGATCTTGACGGTATAGTTCGCCAGCACTGATTGCGAGAGCATGCTCGGCATAGTTATCAAAAGCACCACTTGCAGTTAAAGGAACTTGCGTGTCACCCAGAGCATCGTCGATTTTCTGAATCGCGGTGTTGCCGGTGCGCTTGTTCTTCTTTGCTGCAACAAAGTGGGGATCATATGCGATCGACCACAGTCGGTTCAGCAAAAACTTCATCAAACCAACTCTGCTGTCAGCCCTTTTCTTCGTGAAGGCATCGGCAAGGTCGTAGTCGGATGCCACCCAACGTAGATCGCAATTGACCCGCTTCAAGTTGTCTCGAAGCTGAAATGCTTGGAGAGCCGCTCTCATGTTTGAAAGCCCAAGGAGAGGGGATTCGTTCACCTCCACAGCGTCATAGCCACCTCGGGAATCAGTGCAAAGAACTCCTGCTACAGCACAAGCTTGCTCTTCTGCAGCAGTTACCAGATCGGCTCGACGTTCAGGTCGGCATAGACCAACGCCATGAAGTTCGCTCCATAGCATGCGAACTCGGAAGTTCTGATCTTCGGCTTCAAGTATACTCTGAACTTCTGCATCGTTGCTTCCAATCGCCTTCCTCTTCAATTTCCAGCTTCGCCATGCAAGAAGGTTCATAGGGACAACCTTTCCAGTCAGGACATCTGGCCCAGCAGCCAGTGTCAAAAGTCCACCAGTAGAATCACCTTGAGGACGATTTGCATGAGACTGGTCGCCCATTGAAATAAAAACCACATCTTCTTGGTGCCTGGAAGTTTGAAGAACTGAAGATGTTGAGGAGCAGCACGAACTTCGGAAACCATTTGTTGTATTTCACGTGCTGTCTCTATTGTTCCATTTGTTACAACTTCAGTCAAAAGCAGATTGCAACGAGCACATAGTTGAGGTTGAGTTTGGATGGCCAACCATTGCAAAGCGCCCAAGGTAGTTCGGCACGCAGCTACCTCAGTTTTTGAAAGAGGTCCAGATTGTCGCCATCGTTCAGGATCCAGGTTGACATCCATGACAGTCTCGATGTAGGCATCCTGGTTGATGTGGATGGCAAACTGGCCATTCTCCTTTTTGACGGTCTGTATGTCCGTCCCAGCATGTCGGTAACTTCCTTGTTTCGAAGTTCCCCACTTGTATGCTGCCAGGACTTTCTGAAAAATGGCTTGCCATTCTTGACTATGTGGGTCGCCTACAACGTGAAAATCATCAACATGACCACCAATGGCGCCAATCAACCGAGGGTACTTGTTGGTCTCATCCTTCAGCTCTTTTGAAAACCAACCCCAAAGACATCGTTCGCCAAGAATTGGTACAGCACCAAGTCCAACAAGCTTTTTGTGAAGATCAAGCCAAAGACCACGTGGAGCTGTTGTTGAACCATAGATGTTTCTCAAAACACGCATGATGCCCTCATCTTGTAGGCCAAGAGCTGCACGTAGCTCAGAAACGCCAGTTGTCCAAAGTTCCTGATCGGCTTCTGTCGGCTGTGTTTGAAGAAAAGCGGTGGCCAAATCAAGTCCATGTATTTGCCACTGATGATGGGTTGCAAGGAGGTACAGCATGTTGCGCCCCACCATACTTTGAACAGGAGCCGCAGTCTTGAAGGTGCGATCAAGGAGTGAAGGATGCTGGAAGCCCAGCAAAACAATTCTGGCTTTGGCCTTTTTGGAGCCATCTTTTGTGAGGACAGTGTTGGGATCCTCACTTGCTTCTTTTCGAGCATCATCTATCTCATCAGGAGGCGTTGATTTCCATGTCAAAATCCATCGCGCCTTGATGATTCTTTGTGATTCAACAGCTCTACGAACTTCTTGATCATCCAAACAACGTCGCACGGCCTGGTTCTTCAAGAAGCTGTCCACTTCGCGTGACTTGGCCTTTTCAAAAAGAGCTCGATGTTCAGGTGTCAACTTCACCTATTGGACTTCAGCATTGCCAACCTTCTTGGCCATGAAAAGTGAAGGATTTCTCACGAGCTGCTTCCTTTGACGTTGGGAGTCCATGGAGAGGTCAAAGGAAATCATGAAGGCCTCTTCAACGCAGGGATCTTGAAGAGCAGTGTGGACATCCATAATTTGAGCTTCTAAGGCCGCATCTTGTTGAAGTTGTTCGACCCACTTCATGTCATATTCAAGGTTTCTGGGTCGCTTGCTTTCAGGAGCTTCAGGGTGTGGATCACCAGGAGAGTGTTCCTCAGGAAGGTCATTGATGGGAGTTCCAGGTTCATACTCATCATCATAATCATTGACTGGTTGCACAGGAGCATCCTCAACTGGTAAGTCCAGACCAGCAGGTTGTGAAGAGGAAGCCTTGCGGTCAAGTCCAGGTGACCGAGATCGTTCTGCACGTCCAAGTCCAGGGAGAGGTGCAGGATCTCTGACGCCAAGTCCAAGAGGCGTTGACCTGTGCACAGTTTTCCAGTCATCTGATTGGAGTTGTTTCTTTCCCCAAATCCGCATCGCAGGAATGACAGAGGTGTCATCAGGTTTTGGAGGCAGGATTTGTAGTTCAGGTTCATCAGGATCTGGAACTTCATCGGTGATATCCACAAATTCTCGTTCTGGAACAAGATCTGAAAGCGTCTTCATCTTGGTGACGTCCTCCTTGGAGTGCACATCATGATGAAATCTTTCCACAGCAGTCACAGGCCTGACACTGTGAACTGAGCACTTGAAGAGCTTGCCATGCATGAGCACCCAAATGATGTGACGTCGAGGATCATCACGGTCTTGATGAGGAAGTAGTTCAGTGAAGACAACTCTTCCAGGTCCAACCCAGCCAGGTCTGCTGGTGCGTTTCATTCCACCACGAGGACCTTTGTAAGCATCACTTGGAAGAACTTTGCGCCAAACTTTGACAAGGTCCGCAATCTCAAAGGTGCGCAAGGGCTGTCTGGCCTTGCTATTGTTGAGCCTTGTCATGATTCTCTGCGCCCTTGTCTTCGTTGCTACATCTTCAGCTCTTTGACGAGCAGCAACCATTGAAGCAAAAGACGCACGATCACCAAGTTGGGCAAAAAGTCGACGGTCTTCCTCACTGATGGTGCAGGCACGGCCAAATGCCCACTGATGTGAACTGAAGCCGCTGACAAACTCTGTGGAGTTAAGTGCAGAGGCAGCCAAGGTCAAAGTCACAGATGGATCCTGTGCAAAGTTGTCCATCTGGATAGCTGTTGCGGTATGTTTGAACTCCCGCATTGCATTCTCAACCAATCCATGAGCCCAAGGTTCTTTTTCTGCAGGCATGGAGAGCTCGATGTTCTGGTCGCGGCAAAAGTCAGCAAACTCTTTTGCCACAAAGCCCATGCCATTGTCGGGAATGATCACCTCAGGTTTTGGATAGTGAGCCAGCCAGCTCTTGGAAACAGCCTCAATCACTTGGGCAGAGCTTTCAGTACGCATCTGGTTGATGCCGTAGGGTTCCATCAATGGTATTGCAACACGCAACTTGGTGGCATAGTCGATCATGAGCAAGAACTTGATCTTTTGGTTGAGGCCCAGCACAACCCATTCTGACGCATCAAGTCCAAGCGCCTGCCAAGGACCAAATTGAGCATGTGTTGCAGCAGGAGGCACGTTGCCGCTTGAAGCACCACCAGGTTTCAAACCTTCGCAAATTGGACAAGTGAAGTCCTCTGCCATCTTGATCTTCCATTTGTCCAGATTGGCATCACGGACAATTCGACTAAGGTTGCGACTTGAGCAGTGACCAGCCGCCTTGTGGAAGTGCATGAGTTTGGCCTTCCACCGTTCACGTTCTGCAGCATTGGGCGGTTCATCCGCAGGATTTGGTGCAGGAGGTTCAGCACCAGCCGCAATCTCGCCAGGATCTTCATCAGCAGGGGCCGCATAGAGGTCAATGTCCTCATCGTCAACAAGCTCCTGGAAGTTCATGCGCCGTAGTTGTTGATTGCTCACAGTCTGCTTTGCCCAAAAACGAGCAATGGACTGGACCATCTTCCAGGGATAGTAGCTTGATTTCTGAGTTTCACGACCCTCAATGCGTCCGTGGCAATGTCCACCTTGACATACTTTGCAACGAAACTGACTGTGAAAAAGTTCATCATTTGTTTTCACCAACCATTTCTTTCGCAGAAAGTTTTGTTGTGCATCAACCATACCGTAGCGACATCCATCGATACGACAATCCAACCACTCATGCCCATGTTTTTCAAAAAGTGCTTGTATTGCCAAAAGCGGTTTTTGTTTCCAACCAAAGCAAGGATGAGGCCACTCGTAGTAAACCAATAGTTCAGGGTCATCCTCCAAGGCCTCGGTGAGAAATTCATGAGCATACCAAAGAAGTCGCCGTTCACGTCGTCGATGATCTTCAAGGAGTTGTTGCCGCTCAGGTCCAACATAGTTGAGGCTTGACCATTGGCACCAAAATGTGCAAGGAAGAGACCACCATAGACGTCGAGGTCGATGTCTCCGTCGTAGTGCACGTAGATGATCCCAGGTCTCCTTCTTGTAGAGGTCGTAGCCGGACTGCAGGTTGATGCGCCTCGGATTCAAGCCTTGCATCTGAGCCGCCTCGGAAAGCCAAGAGTGTGGAGAGCATGCAATCTCCCATAGTCCATCACGGTCATCAAGTGCAAAAGAAGCCATCATAGTGGTTGCCGTCGCCAACATTGTAGTTGCCAGGAACATCACCTTTGCCGCCAGGCGATGTGTGAGCTCATAGGTCTTGTTGGCGTCCTTGACATTCTTTGAAACCTTGGCATTCTTTGTCACCTTGATATACTCAGTGTCCAGGTCATTCTCAAGCACCTTGGGGTTCTGTGGAGCCTTGACATTCTTGTGAGCCAGGTCATTCTTTAGGACATCTCCGCCGGATTGGCGTTGTTGGCATTCGGATCCACGTAGCCCTCCGCCGGCATGTAGGCATTGTCCACCATGTCCCATTGAGCCGCTGGTGAGCTCGATGCTGTCGAAGGAGACGGCTTTTTTGTTCTTGCCTTTGTCGACGGGAAGGCGCTGTTGAACGCCTGAGCATCCATCTCCTGGTTGATGTGGGTCTACAGCACCTCTTCGGCTTCGATCAGCTTCACCATTGCCGCGCAAATCGTCTGATTTGGGCGGTAGCCGTTCATCATTGGTTGCAAGCGCTGCAGCATCTTTTGGATCATCACAGGGTTCTCGACCTTCGTGGAGCCGCTGGTGCTTCCCTTCTTCGGCACATACTGAAGGCGTAGGTTGCACACCATGCAGTGCACCCAAGCTCCATGTGCATTTCCCTGAGGCTTCGACGGAGTGTGAGCTCCGTGACATGGCCATTGTTGGGAGTCGGCACGAGGGTCCCTTGGGTCGTGACCCATCGTGCGCTCCGGGTCCAGAGGTCTGGAAGGAGCCGGTTTCGGCATGGCCTTCTTGATTGCATCCCGTACTTGTTCTTGTCGATGTTCCTGCGCCATGGTCAGTCTGCACACAGGAAGCGGATGCGGTCGAATTGGAAATCACAGGGCTGTCTCTTGGACACATTGAAGCCAGAGTAGCTTCGGCATTCGCATCAGCATGACCATGTTGTTGTGCATGTAGAGCCATCAGGTTCCTTCTCGATCTTTCCAAAACATGTTCATCATGTACATGGTCAGACATGCTCATGTCATAGAACTCAACCGGGTGAAATTCAAGAGTTTGCAGCTCGGCAGACTGGATGTGACCCTCCATGATATGTATAGTTGGATGACCTTTTTGATTTGAATGCCCCAATGTAAGGTAGTAGACAATGTCCCGAATGTAGTGCCCCTTATTGTTACTAGGTAGTTGACGTATTGTTGGTGAAGGATTCAAAGACTCGACAGCCAAACCAGTGTTGAAGTCAATTGTCAAAGCGCTTTCTGGGCTGTCCCTACCACTCAAATGATCCATCCCCAACAGCACGGGTACCATGTTCTTTGGGTCCACATTCTTGGGGTCAGGCAAACAATACATGTGGAAATTTCGCTCAGTGCCAGAAACTTTGGAGGAAATAGTGACTCTAAAATTGGCTTGCCCCCAACAACCATTCCCAAAGCGAAAGTAAGGCCGCATGTATTTCGCAATGGTCACAGCAGCTCCTCGATCCTGAGCCAGTACAGAGTTGATTAACTTCTGCACACTTGTTTCAGGCCCAGCACTTGCAGTAGCGCCGCAATCGAGAAGACCAAGATTGGGTGGCATGTTGGTTGCCGCATTGGATTGAGCCTCATAGGTTTCCTGCAGTTCCAAGCCGTACATCACCTGGTTCTCAGCAGCGTAAGCATTCACAACTGGACGGCTTGGTGACTGCTTGGCTTTTCCTTTTCCTTTCCACATCGCATTCAAGTCAGCCAAGCTGGCATGTTTGCCCTTGCCCTTGTTCTTGGACTTGCCTTTACCCTTCATGTAGTAGAGCTCAGCAGTCTCCCAATCCACCATGTAGGCATGAGGAGATTTCCCCTTACCTTTCCCCTTCATGTACGAAGGATGGTATTTGTCAGGGCAATCTCGTGCAAAATGATTTCCTCCACAAATGAAACACTTGCCATCGTTGGGAGAACGCTGATGTCCAAATCCACGGTCCTTGCGAAGCAGGGCAGTTGCTCGTTGAGCTTCGGCCCAAGTCCTCTGAGCTTGAGCAAGGATGTTTTCTGCATCACCCTCAGCCTTCATTGCATCTTGTAGTTGAGGATCATCAGCACCATCATCTTGTAGAGGTGGTTCAGGTTGAGAGTGTTGTAGATCACCCCATTGATCCCATTCAGGCTCAGCCCAGTAGTCGGCTTCGCTCCAGTAGTTCTCACCCCAATCATCATGCCAATTCGGGTCATAGGTCTCGTCAGACACCTGGAAGGACTCATTGTAGTAGCCCGCCATAGAACTCTTCAAGGAAGTAGTGCTGCGTCCAAGAAACTGCTCATCCCATAGGGTCTGAAGTGCCTGTGTCACCACTTCGAACTCAAGACTTCCCTTCGTCGTGGCCAAGATGTCCCTCTTCTCATCAGGACTGAGTCCAGCTGATTGCAACAACCGGAAGCCTCTCAAGACACCCAAGACGAAGCTGTCGGCCAAGGAGAACTCGTTGATCTCACCTTGAACTTCGCCTGCAGCTGAGGTTCCAGGAACTCCAACAGAGCGAAAACTGGCATCAGGTTGAGCACGTCGAATTGGAGACATACCCACAGAGCCTTCTGCAGCCGCTGTAGCCGTAGGTGACGCCGTAGGTCTCGCCGGTGAAGTAGGTGAAGCAGCAGCACCAGGAGGTTCTTCTTGTTCTGGATCATCATTTGCATCGTACCACCAATCAGCCCATCCATCACGGGGAGCTTCTTCAGGTAGATCAAATGTTTTGTCATGCTGCTGAATCCCTTTCTTGTCCTCATACAACAGCAGGAGCGCCTCCACGAACTCTGAGTAGCCCAAGGCTTCCCTGACAAGGAAGTTGTTCATGGCTTCTCCAGCTTCACGTCTAAAGCTGAAGTACTGCTGACATGTTGCAGCAGCGTTCGGCAATGTTCGCCTCACCAGTGGAGAAGCTGCCAATCTTTGTAAAAGATCTCGGACTCCATTCACATGGTCAAATTCCATTGTAGTCCAGCTCATAGCCAATAGTCGAGCAGGACCACGTAGTTTCCCCACCAGTTTTGTAGCGCAGTACCTTCTTTTCTCAACTGGTGTGGCCCTCACATACCAACAAACCTCACGTGTATACCTTCGCCATGATCTTGCGCTTCCGTCCCAAACTGGAACGTTTTGTTCCTTCTCAGATGGCATCTCCTGAGAAGTGGTTGATGGCCAAAATGGCCTGCAAAGGATCCCAGCCGCGTCACTGGGAAGTGCAAATTCAAACTGGTAAAAGAGCTTGGCCAAAAGGTCGTGGAAGTTCAGGACGTAGTATCCCGCTTCGACCAGCCAAAAGGTTTAGGTCCAAGCTGTAGCACCGGAGATTCAAGTCACCTTCAATGACGATCTCAACAGGGCCAAAACGTAAGGCCTGGAGCTTCTGCTCCGCTACCAATGTAGCTGGAGCAGGCAGTGGGGTTATTGGGCTCGACCCCTATCCCAAACCAACAGGTCCACAGCCTAGATGCTGTAGGTCAAGTTCACCTCTTCCAACCAACGCGCAGCAGCAAGCGCACAGAGCGCTATTTCCATGCACAAGGCCTCACAGGCCTGTCGCCAGGTTTGGCTTTCGCCAAGGAACTAAAAAGGGGCCCCTACCGAGCCGGATGCAACAGCATCGAAGGTTGAGGTGTGACCTGACATGGCCGGTGGAGTTGCAGTCTCCCCGTTTCCCCCAGGCCTGAGACCAACCAAACTGGTTTGTGGCTGTTTGTGGTTCTACTTGAGTTATAAAACTCTGTGTATAGGATGATATTCCCAAGCGACTTCATCCAAGCAACGAGGAAACCCATTCTCCAAAGGATAGGGAATCTGAGCCCTGCCGAAGGGCACTGACAGCTCAGGTTGGCGGTGGTGCACGAGTTGCATGGCATGAAAACGGTGATTTGCGGGCACTTTTGGATATCCCAAGGATATCCACGGATTGATATGGATTGATACGGGGGAACCCCAATAGCCGGATGGTTTATAATGGAAAACCATGGAAAACCCTTTACTAAAATGGATGATTTGGATTGATTTGGGGGTACCCGTATTTTTGGAAACCTCCATATGGATTGATATTTTTTTGGGGGTGAAGTGTTGAAAGCACCAGGAGGATGCGAAAAGAACACGACCGAGACGATCGCCTGATTTGTGCAGTGTAGAGGCTTTCATTTGTCAGGTCGATTCATGCAATCAGCGACTGTTCCATAAGTATAGATAGAAAATGATAGACATATAAATATAGAAATGGATGTCTTTGTCAGTAGAAAGGGCTTACCATTCCATATCATTCCATCTTTTTTGGATATGGCATGAGTACCCCAAAATGATGAAAACGGACTAATTTCACATGGAAAAAAACTGGTCTTTGATTTGGCCACTGTAGCTGGAAGCTCAGGATGGAATGTGCCAGACTTTCTCCCAAGGCTGCTGGCAGCGAAGGTGGCATGGATGCATGTGGCAGGGTCTTGGGAGATGAAGAAAGGGCAAAGGAGTCAGGAAATGTCCGGAATAGTCATCATATTGGATCCAGTTTTTTCGGGTGAGCTTGAAGGGTTTTGAACGATGAGTCCAACATAGTCCAACTGAATTATGGGCATTTCGGGACTTTGAAGTTCCTATAGCCAGACATTCAGGGCCGGGTCGCTGAGGTCGGATGTTTCTGCACCTCACCTCGTTGGCAGAGATTGCCCCTTGAAATCAACAGATTTGGAATATGGGTTCTGTATCTTTTCTATATGGATTTATATGGATATATGATAATTGCACAAGCACAACTTGCTGACCAACATACTTTTTGCATACTTTCGCATCTTTTTGCAAACATATCAATCAAATGCAATTCCTACACTGACTGAAATCCAACTTGATACTCAGCTACAAATCTAGAAGTCTATGCCGTTCATTTTTCTCATGGCTATTTGCACACGTTCATTTTCTTAAGTGGTATCATTGGCATTGTGGTACTGGATATGTCCCCTGCCTGGTGCCAGGCAGCCACGGACCTCTTCCAACTGCTGCAGTCCTTCGTGGTGGAATTCGTGGCACGCCATGGTGCGCTCCTACAGGCCTTGTGGTTGGATGAGATCACGCTGAAGGCTGCGATGGGGGGAGACACACAACGTTTAACATCGTTGATATAACATTCCCTGAGGCTCTGTGGCCTCAAATAAGTAAAAAACGGCAATGTACCTAAAATACAAGGTCATCTCCGTAAAAGCTTAATTTCAAGGTCGTTTGTCGGAATGGGCTATGTTTTGTCGGAAAGTTTGTCGGAAAGGGCAGGTTTTCTGCCATTCTTGCTCTGACAGCGCATTGCGCATGATATTGTGATGTTCAACCAAACATCGCAAAACTATCTCACTATGAATTCATTCGTACATATGCTTTGTGATAAGGGTACACTATGGGTTGACTTTGTTGATGGATCATCCTGGTGTGTCTCAACCCCCAAATGCTCTCAATTCACCATGATGTCACCCAAATATCTAATATATTGGCAAATACGACACACCAGGATGAAACGTGCAATAGCCTTACACAGGGATGCCCAGAAACGGGCTCGAAGGGAGGAACCCAGTGTGCCATGTGGCGCTTCTCAGAAGCCAGTTGGACCTTTGAAGAAGTGGGGAGGTTCGCCTACCCCCCACAGCCTTGCAGTGCGGTCGACAATCTTATGTTTTTAAACAATATGATGGGGGTCACGATTAGATAAATCATTGGGATTGACCTTAGCTTTGGGGATGAAACGATTCTTGGTGCATCCTGCGTGCTTGGTGTTATGCATATTTGTTTGGAACATGCCACTGCATGCCTGGAACGATAAGGAAACCCATTTAATTCCCTTAATTAACCATTATTGGAATACTCGCCCTATAGATATTAGAATATGATATTACCAGGTGCTATTTTTTATGTTGGGTGCACCATTTTTTTTGACCAAGAGTTCATGGGTTTATGTCCTGCCCATGACCCGCAGACAATTTTTTTGGTCAGCCCCCTTGCGCGATTGTGCCGGGGCCGTTGTGCTATATACCTTGGTTCAGCTGCGGGGATCATGTCGGGACCACCATCAGTACAACGCCTCATTTTGGAGGACAAACACATTTGAAAACATAAGGGTTATTGTTTAGGGGTGTTCTTAAACCTGACATAGGACATCTCATCATTGGGAACCCTGAAGGACTTTCTCAATAGCTATTTCATGGAGCATGCAGACCGCATTCGGAACGATGCCGACAACACTGTTTTGGTGGTTCCCAAAGATGGGCCTGCATCCGCTGAGATGGTGGTTTGGCCATTTTAACTTGAATTCATTGTGTTGTTTTGTCATATACCATCTCCACAAGTTTCTTTTAAATATATATATATATGTATTACACCCACTAACTACCCTAAGACCATACAGGAAAGATGACTGGCTGTTTGTAAACCAAACATAATATGACATAAGATGACTTGTTGTTTTCCCCAAGGTCACTTGGGTATGGCCACCTGAGGTGGAAGTTCATTGGCAATTTGCACTTGAATACTTCGCCAGCACTGGTAGCTGCATGGTGCCAACGATGAAGGCTCATCAGGACTGATCATAAATGATATACTCAACAAGAAGGGTTGTACACATACACAAAAGAACTTGCAGGTAGTTCAAACTATATTCCAAGCATAACATCTTCAAACTAACCACATACAGCTACATATATATATATATATATATGTATATATATATATATGTGTATATATATATGTATATATATGTGTATATATATATATGTAAAATTACAAGGCAGCCTGTTGATGTCTCTGTTGCAAGTCAGCTGTTGCTGTGCACGCACTGTTTTTTCTGTTGGCACAAGATAGGCTCAAGGCCTATATGTTGATCCAAGATGTTGAACGGATGGACACTGGCACAACTGTGTTGGGACAGGGTGTTGATTCCTAACAGCATATATTTCTACATGAGATATGTGGTTTTTATGGCTTGATACCCAAGGGATATTATGCTAGGCTAGAACCGCCAAACCCTATGCCCACACACCTTTTTATATATATATATATTATCCCATAGCTTTGCCTCGTAGGACTGTCTGATCGTTTTGGCAAAACGCTACGGCATCTTCCAGAAAGTCAAGGGGTATGGCCGAACCTTGAAGGACAGGGACTGAAAACATATGACACTCGAACTCTTACACTATATGTGTTTGATACCAACATATATTATATATTTAAATTTGAATCAATTTGGATTTCCCTACTAGGATTGGGCTGTGAAGCAGGCTCCCCCTATCAGATGCCTCTTCGTTCATGCCCTCCGGTTGTGTCGCCGTAGCAGCTCATCGAAGTCTTTGAAGATCAAGATGCTGAAGGAATCGATGGAAGTCATCATTTCCGCGTCAGGTGGGGGTGGTGCCAAATTCTTTGTTCCCCAAGCCGAGGGTGATAGGTGTTTGCCATGAATCGATGTCCCGATGTCTTCATCAGCGCGCCAACCATGGTCGCTCAAATTTGGGCCCATTCCCAGACCCTAGTACCCAGGGAGAACCACGAACTTGGTCATCCAATCCTGTAGTCCCGGCCACACAGGGCATCAATTCAGTTGTTTTAAGGAGTGTCAGCTCCACAATACAGCAGGTCTATTTTTGAGGTGTCTACTTTTTACAACCCCTGTTGCAGGAGAATCTCCACATGATGGCATCGAAGCAGCTCTGGCGAATGCGTCTTTGCAGGACTTGGTGGGGAACCCAAATTTAAGTTGTTTAAACAACTATTATGTATATATATATATATATGTATATTTATCCACCCTGTAGGATGGTGATGAGCAGGATGTATCGACTCCGTCGTCGTGCAGTGCTACACCCCCTTCTGTAGTGAAGGCCAAAGCGGCTCCCATGCGTCGCTACAAAGTGAAGGTCCCTTGCCTGGGGTTGTGAACATATCCCATTTTTATTGCACATGATTTTACAATTTATAGCCCACCAGTAGTATTCCTTAATTGGAAAATATGTTTAAAGTTAGCATTCTTTTTTTGAAGGGTGGAAATCCAGCCTTGGCATTCAAGGCTCCTCAGGCCCCAAACCCTGATGAGATGGAAACGCAACAGCTTGTTGATGACTTGGAAAAGCTCATGAATGATGACCTTATGTGTGACGATGCTACCCCAGAGGTGGCTGTGGATCCCAAGGTGGATGGTTACCGTCGTCAAGCTGCCAAGGACGCAATTGGTAATCTTAAGGGATACGCATTTTATTGATTATTTCCCCACCTGCCAGGTGAGGGTTGTTAGAATTTATCACAGTTGTTCTCCTCCTCCTCCTCCTCTTCCTCCTCCCTCTCCTCCTCGTCCTCCAGCTTCTCCTCCACCACCTCTGCATCCACTCCCATGTTCACTTCCGCCTTGCCAACTCTTCGCCAACGTCCGCGCGCAGTGGGCACTGCTGGACCTCAACTGCCGGCTTCCGATCGTGGGCACCGCTGGACCTCAACCTGGGACCGTCAGAGCTCAGTGTGCACTGCTGGACCTCAACGGCCAGATAGACTGCCAGAAGATATGCCAGATAAAGTGCCAGAATGTTTGCCAGATAGAACGCCAGAAGATTTGCCAGATAGAATGCGAGATAGAATGTCAGAAGAGATGCCAAAAGATATACCAGATAGAGTGCCAGAAGATATGCCAGAACATATGCCAGAAAATATGCCAGGTAGAATGCCAGAAGATATGCCAGATAGAATGCAAAGGGAGTGGCTGGTATCTATGTGATCTTCACCATGATATGTCATGGTGGGGATCACTCGAAGTAAAGTAGTTATTGTAAGATAAAAATTGTTGCCCATTTATGTCAAAAATATCTGATACCTCTTGTTTCAGATCTATACGTATACCAACCCAAAAAATGCTTATATATGTGCTTAAGGTTCCACATCCCTTTACAGGAGATGCATTGCATGGAAGCTATTCCACCGGAGATGCCCGACAAGACCGACCTTGAAATGACTGAGCTCATGGAGAACCCCCCTGATGCTTACCAGGCACAGCTGGTGGCCGAGAAGGCAAAGAAGATTCAGCATGCAGAGCAGCTCCTGAAGAATGCACAGAGTGATGGGAAGGTGAAGAACAAGTTCTCGAAACCCGGTCGGGGGCGTGGAAAGGGTCGTGGGAGAGGCCGTGCTGTTGACAATTCCGTGGCTGATCCCAAACCTTCTGAACCTGCTGGTGAGAGCAATGGGAATGATCCAACCCCTGAACCAGAAGGGGGAGGTTCCGGCTCTGGTGAGCCTGCTGGTGGGGACCCCAACATTGAAGTGGCACCTAAAAAGGGGCGCAACCATCTTACTCAGAGTGAATTGCAAAAGATGTGGTCTGAGAAGGTTGCCGGACATCTTTAGCATCGATGTTTTTCATATATATATATATATACCGGGTCATTTTTATTATTATCGATGGGTGTCGAACGGGAGGGGGTTCAACACCAGCGGCATTTTGCTTTATAATGCCTTTGTGTTAAATGAGGCTCCCTTGCTTCGAGCGGCAGCTATTCCTGTGCCTGCTGACTTTGACCCTACCAGCAAGAAGTCCTTCACATTGCCCCCTCCAGATGATAAGAAATGCGGGTCCGTAGGCATTCTGTTACTTGGCTATTTTATATACTTGAACCCACCGGGTAGCATCAAAAGCGTTTTTTTTGGTGACACTATAGGTTTCCCAAGTGATTCAATTGACACTTTCCCTGTAAACAATGACCCATCACGTATGTGCTACTGAACTACGAACATGTATATATATATATATATACATACTCCTCAAAAACAATAATATCCCATTAAGTTTCTAGCCGAGTGTTTTTCCCAGGTGGACGTTGGATCAGATCTACGTCTCAGCTGTGACCAACAAGGAAGCTGATGAGTCCATCCGGGTGAACAAGAAAGGAGGGTCGACGTTGTCAATTCGAAAGAAGGGCTGGGCTGAAAACTTTACCTTAGCCAAGAAACTGGCAGGTTGGTGAATTTGCCAGAGAATGCTGTCACACCCTAGGGGTCCTCCACATGGTTTGTGCACAACAATATTATTATTTGATTGTATAAAATATTAATATACCACAATGGTTCACATATCTTCACCGGTGTGGTGTGACCAGGGTGTCTTCTAGTTTTGCTAGATGAATGTGGCATAGGCTGTGTGTCTACACACAAGACGTGGCCGACTCCCATGCCCCGGAAGCCTGTGAAAAACTGCGAGTAGTATTGGTCAAGGTTCGACAGCTTAATGAACATATTCACGACCAAAATGTGTTGTGGAGCCAAATTAGCATACCATTGTAGTTGTGGCCACCTCGCTCAATATTTTACTTATGTCTTATGTCAGTTTTCTCTTGTGGATGATCTCTGCAATGCGTTCATTTTGCTGATTTAGATACTCCTAGTGACACCTGAGACCCATCCAATCGGATCCCACAGCCTGTCCTGAATCCATTCGCCATCATGGCATTGGGCCTCTCCAAGCGCAAAGCATGTGCACTGCTATTTTGGGGAGCACCAGTCCTGCTGATTCTTCGATGCATCTTATGTTATGTCTGATGGTTGTTTATACTTCACCATTACAGTGGGTCTTCAAGCCATCCATATACATAAAATAAAAAATAAAAATATATATATATATATATTATATTACCTGTATTATGTATATTATATGTATGTACACTATACCGAAACAAGTCTGATCAACTCACCTTCTGGAAACAATTTGATCCCAACCATGTACATCATCGAGTAACTTTACCTTGACATCCGGCTCGGCTTAGGATTCACTTGGTGGATTATTGCTGTCAAGTTTGGGCCGCTGAGCATGGTGATGGTCCTATGCAAGTCCCTTGGGTTGCATCAAGTCGGATGGTTACAGATGGGGTCTGTCTTGAAATATGAAAAATGATTGCCCTCTACTTAATTGTCCTTATGTTATTTTAGGTGTGTGTGTGTGCCGTTTTTCGGAGGCCAGTCCTAAACCAAAATGAAATGATCCCCTTTCTTACCATTTCAAAGTAAATAATGGTGTGGTCAAAATGGCCCCATTTCTTCTCCCATGAGGACTTGCAAATGCTGGAGTTGTTTAGCGGGGAGCAGGAGCTGACCCGACAATGCAGACACTTGGCTAGACAAAAATTCCTTGGATACACCTTTCATCCCAAACAACGGCATGTTTCTGCTGTTTAATTCACAAAGGATGATATTGCACACCGCATGGGATGACAAGTGTTGTTACAAACCCCTGGGAGATAGTTAAACCTTCCTATGAAATGGTTCTTTTAAACTTGCACCAGCTGAGGATTGAATGGCATCGAGTGTCGTGCAATGGACATCAGGAAAGACAAGGTCTTGCATGACTTGACGTCTTCCCGTGGGTTCTGTCTAGCCTTGCTCCGGTTGCTTCGAGTGCAGCCCAATGGAATGATATGGGGCGGCAACCCTTGTGCTAGGCAACCGGGTTTGAGTTTAGCTATGTTGAAAAATACACTGAAGGTGTTAGTCATCATTTAAAAAAATCCAACCCGGCCCATAAGCCTATGGTGGGGACTATGTCTACTTCATGGAAAAATGGTTTTGGCAGCTTGACTGCTTCACACCCCCAAACCAATGGACCATGATTTATGCATTGGTATTTCCACAATGGGGGATGCTCGAAAATACCTAAAAGGGGTTATTTTTGAATATTTTGGAGCATCCTTCATTTTGAGAAATACATTATATAATATATATCTTGAACAAGGGATTTAACCCACATGGTGGTGATTCATTGTTTCATTTTGGTCCCTCCAAGTTAGCAGCGCAAGTTCCTTTTTACATATGGGGTAACGTAAGTGTAGTTGACTACATTGTTGGGGTGCCCTTGTGTCCTTGGTGAAATCCCAACCACTACGGCCAGTTGGGTTTGGATAAGTGCATCTACGACGAAGCGACGCAGCCGCGAACATGGCATTTTCGGAGATGAAGGGCTGGAAGGGGTGCGGGTTGCTAATTGTTTAGCAGCCCGCTTTGCTCTATTGGCCATGGTGGCCATTGTTAATGGTGTTTGGTGGTCTGTCACTAGTATGAATTGGCATTGGGGTCTGGGTATGTAGTTTTTGGTCATCATAAAAAATCGGGGAAACATCAACAAGTGATATCGATTTAACATAATGTTTGCCCCAAACACTTTCCCGTCCTTGTATCCTTTCAAAATCACGACCATCAACTGCTTTATCCAAACCCTAATTTTAGGAAATGTGTTGCAACTGGGAGTTCACATATTAAAGCTAAGTTGGCATCTAATAAAAAAAATATCACACCACAACCCCACACCGTTGCTAGTGGCCTCGTGGGTAAAGCTCGAGTCTCCCTGGCAGGGGCCCGGGGGCAACCACCAAAATGAACATGCATGAAAATGATTTTCTAGGAACAACAAAAATGATATCCTATTTTTCGTAATATATTTCTGCTCCATCCCACAAACCCTGTCTGACAATATCATTGTATAACATCCTCAAATATTGTTTATCATGCAAATGGGGTAGATGTTGCTGGGACTTCTTCATACAGGGGCTAGTTGTTCATCTACAGGAGGACTATGCACATGTATCTAGCTACAGTCACCGCGTATATTATGTGGTTTGACACAGCTGTTTTCCGCTGAAATTCATTCTCACTGAGGTAGAACAGCCATCTTCAAGCTGTCTTCCCAAGTGCCCCTACGTGGCCCACGTCATGACCAACATGGCACCTACGTGGTACTTGCGAACGTGGATGGGGGCATTTAACCACTTCTGTAGTAAACCTACAGCATTGTTTGGATCATGGTGGCTTATCTTATTATTTCGAAGTTTTCATCATAACATTTTAGGGATGTTTAATTCATGTCTAGGTTTTCCCGATGCCATCAGTTGAAGAAAAACTCTGCTTGATCTTTTCCCATAAGGCCATTGCTTGAAGAACTTAAATGCCGGCTTTCACAAGCAGAACAAAAGTCATTGAGGGAGTCATCGGCTGGCATGTATACCAAGAAGAGATTACCGGATGGACGGGTGAGGGTTACTGGAGGAAAAAGGCTGAAAGAAAGTGGAGCTTACACACCGGAGTTTGGAAAGCGCGTCGCTCAACTATTTAAAAAGGGCGCAGTTGCTTGTTGTTCACTAACAGTACCCATTTTGTTTTTCCCAATACTGTCACCTGTACATGCCACACCACTTGGATACCACACCTGGTGCAAACACTTCCGGCAGCTCCACTGTGAGGTTTCAGCATCGCACCTTGCTGCACAGCGACAACGATCTCTGTGGAAACTAGAAGGCCCTAAGGGCTTTGATGCTTGGATGTAATGATACCTTATTAGTGGTATTTTTTGGGGTGTGTTGACATTAGGCAGGTTAAAGTTCCCAATACTGCAGTTTACTCAAACGTCATTTTCTTTCCCTGTCTTTTGATTGGCAGGGTCCGAACATGATCATTCTTGGGGAAATTCGATCAAAACTGATTGCCAGTAATGTGAAAAAAAAACTACCCGTGCCGTTGCTCACGCAGCGGAAGCGGTTGTTCATAGCCACTGCTACCTGGGCCACATTGTGGCCTTCGTCCATCATGACCCTAGTCTTGTTGTAAGGGTTTTCGGTCGCCATGCCGTTCATGAACTGCGCAACCACGCGGCACGCACATTGTCAGCAAGTGACACTGCCATGCTGCCACATCCGTCCGACAGCACATGACAATTCGAATGGTTGAGGTCTGATTCCTCATCTTGTCGGCCAAAGCTCCGTACACCGGTACCAAGACAAAGAGATATATGCATTTAAACACACACACACATATATATATATATATATATTATAATCTATTTATTTGTTGTTTTTTGAGTTGATATTTACTATACTGTTATATTTACACAAGACGTACGGTATATATAAATATTTACATCTCATGAAAATAATATATCTATATTTGTATGTATATATTGAAATAACAATATTTACATATATATAATAAACATCAAATATGCAATACTCATATGTATATAATATACGCGGTGTGTGTATATATATATCGAAATATATCTATACAAAACACACACACACACATATATATATATATATACACATACGATGTTCTTCTGACCTTTAAAACCACATGATTATCAGTTGGCAATGCCTTCCCTTGTTGTTGTCAACACCATTGTGGGATTTTAGAATGATTAGAACTGCTGGCCCATCTTCTGGAGGAACTTGCAGGGGGGGCTTCTTTAAGGGCCACTTGAGAATGAAATTCAATCTTGCAACAAACTACAGGATTAGTGATGCTTGTGCTCGTACCATTGGTATACCAGAAAAACTCGAGATATTATATACTAAAGTATTTTACTGAACCAATGCCTAAGCTTGAAACTTACTTTTGGGAGATGGCCCACTGAGTAAGGTATAATCGCATGACTATACCCAACTGTTGGAAAGATGAGCTTAAACTTCACCTATGCCAAACAGTTTATCTACCTGACTTTAAAAAACTTCACCATATAGAATGGTATGGGTCCGGTTCTATATGCACATTACAAACCGAAATTCCACTAACGATAGTCCACCATTGTCCTATGAGGGAATAGGCTCATTACGCTAGTTTATATTTTTGGAGATTATACATTTAATTTTCAGGACTTAACGATAAGGGCATCACTTGCACTAACCTTGAGCAATGACACCAATTTTTGATGAGTTTGGGTGGTCTACTTAAAGGGTTGTAGTTTAGGTGACCCATACCTATAGCCGTCTTGTATTTGGCCTCTTATCATCCCATGCTTTGCTGAGGAGCAGCCCTTGGATTGGAAACATGCTGACTTACCAGCTCTTCGGCAGTTCCTTTTGGAGGAGATTGCAGCCAACAGGTTCCATCCCCAACCTGGCCTTCCATTGTAGGTTGCAATGCGATCCTGAAGCGGTTGCAAGGCGGTGTGACACTATAGCTGACCAGCATAGTGCACTTTAATTTCAGCCTTTTGAGGGTGACACAAAAAGACAACTATATGGAATCTTCCATATTGCCAGTTAAAAACAGTGTTTGGGCTGGGCCAAAATTGCTGTCACCGCTAATTAGCAGATTTCGCCGAAAACATGGCAATGCGAACTACGCATAGCCAAAATTAAGATATGCAAGCACATTGCATTGCATACTTGAGACCTTCAAGAACTAGCCTAAATGCTGCCCGTGGCAGGTATCCACAGACCTGGTTTCGAAGATGTGGGACACCAGTTTGGAACACAACAATATTACATTGGAAACCCAATTACCAACACATCCCTGAGTTCATTTGGTATGAGTTATGTTATTAAAGCGGGGTTCTGTGCAAACATTAGCTTTATCAGGCTAATATAGCTCGCCCAACACAGATTAGCACAGCATCTTTTGAAAGAATTCATGTTTTCTTTAACATTTGCACTCATACCCCATCTCTGTTCAATGATATTGTTTCAACATGCAAACAACCTAGCGTATTTTGTTATTTTTGGCACCAAAGTTTGATGATGGTAGACCCTTTGAAGCTCACAAATGACATTTTGAGGGTGTTGACATGCCAACATGACCTCAGGGTCGATTGGACACACCTGGCGGGACCCTTGTGGGACCTGGTGGGGCCTAGTGGGGGCTCTGGGTGGGCTAGGGAGCAGAGCGTGACGCCGCGTGACGCCGCGTGATTTCGCGTGATTTTCCGTGATTTTTCGTGATTTTTCAATTTCAATTTACTTTTCCCTACTTAAAATTGGGTCGTTTGTCGGAACCGGGTGCCGCCGCGTGATTTTGCGTGATTTTCCGTGACGGACCGTGACAGCTTGGAAATGACCATGATGGGCTATGAACGGTACTTTTTTGGGATGGATGACCCTTGATATTTACAAGTATTGACTTTGAAAATCTTCGAAAAATGATGTTACTGTACTTAAATCTCAAACCTGTGGTCCGGTTCAATACAGCCACCAACTTTGGGATGCATCAACTCAACCCTTCGAACTTAGGTGACTTGGGATTATACGAAGTTATGTCCCGCATTGGCAAACATGGTTCGTATCCAGAATATAAAGATGTTGTGGTTCTTAGATGTTCGTAGATTCTTCATAGCCCAGCTGTCAGACTGCGTGACATGACAGTATGCAAGGTCAGCTTCTGATTTGCCCGCATGTTCATGCATTAAAATGACTGTTGTTCATCTTATTGCAGCATTTGTGCTTGGATGGACTCCGGAGCTTGCTTTTAGAGCAATGTCGTTGCCTGATCCAGACCTGGTGAAGGCCAATTTAAGTAGCAGTCAACTAGACGTTTCAGAAGCTGTGATATGCAGTCAAGATTAGGGAACACTTATGTTACTAACTGATCAGAAAGCGTTTCAACATTAAACTTTTTGGCAAGGAATCCCACTAAGTAAGGTTAACTGATGTTATCTCCCAATATTTAATGGTACTGGTTCCCAGCCACCCATCAAAGTGCCTCTTGATCCATGGGAAATACCTTTGGTCTTGTAGATTCCACCCCTGCAGGCGGCGCAAATGGCCATGCAGAATGGGCAGCGTCGGCTAAAACTCATGCAAGGGGTGGTCAACAACAGTACCGCTAAGCGTGATCGCACCGATGTGACCAAAACGCCGTCTACCCAGGTGACCCCCGAGAATGTGAAGAAGGGTGCAACGTCTGATGATTTGCAGCCCCGGGCATTGGATTTTTCAACTACAGGCTTGGGTCTCTATGGAGCATCATGTGAAACAGAACAACTTGGCACCCCGTAAGACTTTATATAACATGGGTATAACATGCGGTTGTTCATACTGTAGTCCTTCCACGCTAGTTAGTAGATTCTTTGGGTACCACTATAAGCCAAATGTTTTGGGAACCCATAGGATTGGTCTAGCACCCGGAGGTTGTGTATAATATATAATATGTTCAGTGATATATATATATATATATATTTATTTATATATATAATTATATATATATATCGATATATATATATCGATACAACCAACTAGTGTTTTAATATTACACAATATATCTATATAATATATAATCTAATACTCATATATATATATATATAGTGCCTGTGCGTGTGCATACTATGGCTTACACTACCTGCCATTCCTGCAAGGTGGTGGCAATCCAGGAGGCGTGTCCTCTAGCTCATCGGGGGAAACTGGTGGGAATAATGCCTTGAAGGCAACAGTGGCTTGACGTGTTTCAGTTTTTTTTTAATGGTTTCAATCTGGAAGAATTTTTTGTTTTTGCATCAGTCTAATTAAACGACAGACCTTTGCACCGATCCTGTCCAAAAACTGCAAGGTGGCTACGGCAACTGCTGGTGGCATCAGCATTTCTCAAATGCAAGCCATAGCAACACCACAGAAGGTGCCTGTCACGACCGACCCACATCCCCAAGCAACCCTAGACGACACACTTGTGGTTGATGATGACAACATGGAAACACCAGAGCCTGTGCATACCAGCAAGTCGCCTGAACCAGCAGCAGAGCATTCCCAGGGTTTTGACAAAACACAGCAAACTCCCAAGACAAGGGCTTACTTGGCTTGCATGCAACGAAAGTCCACTGATGACCTTTCACTGCCGAAGACACCAGAACATCCCACAGCAGAAGCAGCTCCAGTGATTGTCACCCCAGTGGCAGCAAGACCAGCTCACAGCACACCAGCTGTTGTGACTCCAACGCCACCTGTTGTTGCACCTGCACATGTGTTGACTGCAGCACCCGGCACAGCATCAGCAGAAGCACCGCCTGGCAGCACGGCAGTGGCACCAGCTCACATCGCCCCGGCAGCAACACCAACACCTGTTGTTGCACCCGCACATGTGTTGACTCCAACACCTTTCACAGCATCAGCAGAAGCACCGCCTGGCAGCACTGCAGTGGCACCAGCTCCCATCGCCCCGGCAGCAACACCAACACCTGTTGTTGCACCCGCACATGTGTTGACCCCAACACCCGTCACAGCATCAGCAGAAGCACCGCCTGGCAGCACGGCAGTGGCACCAGCTCCCATCGCCCCGGCAGCAACACCAACACCTGTTGTTGCACCCGCACATGTGTTGACTCCAACACCTGTCACAGCATCAGCAGAAGCACCGCCTGGCAGCACGGCAGTGGCACCAGTTCACACCGCCCCGGCAGCAACACCAACACCTGTTGTTGCACCCGCACATGCGTTGACTCCAACACCTGTCACAGCATCAGCAGAAGCATCGCCTGGCAGCACGGCAGTGGCACCAGCTCACATCGCCCCGGCAGCAACACCAACACCTGTTGTTGCACCCGCACATGTGTTGACTCCAACACCTGTCACAGCATCAGCAGAAGCATCACCTGGCAGCACGGCAGTGGCACCAGCTCCCATCGCCCTGGCAGCAACACAAACACCGTTGGAGCCCGAACCCCAGTCACCTGACCCCCGCTTGCTTCAGTTTTGGTCGAGGTTCAAACGGAGCCCCATGTCCAGGGAGCCTCTGGTACGCCCACTGCCGCCACCCACATTGAACCTACCAGCTCCAACAGAAGCCTTGTACACAGTACTTGATCCCCTCAACTGGAAACACCTGATTCGATCCAATGTTGGACACCGCTCTGACTGGAGATCATGTTTTGTGGTGGCTGCATACAACCACAACACAATCTTTACCTTTGCGAATGAGCGAGGTGAGATTGATGGAACCCCTCAGGTGTCAGATTTCCCACTTGTGGTTTGCAAAGGGGCCTTCCCAACCGAGCCCATTGCAGTTGCAGCCCCCCACCTTGTCCCAGCAGCAGCAGCGACCACACTGGGGATGCCAACCCCTGCACCTCTGGCAATGACCCCACCAGCCATTGTGGATCGGGCAGATCTACCGGCGACAGCAGAAGCAGCATCAGCAGCAGCACCACCAACTATTGCCTCTGCAGAAGTTGCATCAGCTTCACCGATGCCTCCATCCCCAGCAGTGGTTGGAACACCTGCATCCCACCCTGCACTGCCAGTGACACCAGGGTCGGAATCTGCCACGGCACCACCACAAGCCCCACCCTTCACACCAGTTGTGGAGCAGCCAACACCACCCCAGCCGCCAGCACCAACACCGCAGCCGTTAGTACCACCCCCACCCCCACCCACACCACCTACAGCTCGCCTGGCAGAAAATTCCGCAGATGACAGGGCACAGTACATGAAATTTCACAGGAGCGTCCGACATCCCACAGCACCCAAGGAAGTGACCCAGAAGTTCCACGAAGCATCAAAGGACAAAGCAAAGATGAGGTCTTTGTTCCAAGAATTTCAAAGATGCAACGGGGACTGGCTGTCCAGCACCCTTGTGATCCGTGATTCCCAGACTACAACCAACACCCAGGGTGGTAAGGATGGATACCTGTCAAAGGCTGACCCTTAGCTATCTTTTTACAAAACAGGGTTTCAAATGTTGTTTCCAAAATCTGCTGGGGTTTTGCTGGCTTTAGAGCATGCCAATATTGTGGGTATGGTGTGCATTGCAGCAAATGTTGACCAACCAAGGACCTTTTGGTTAAGTACCATGGCAATACCCTTTTGGTGGACGAGCTGATCAAGAAGAAGGTTTGGGGTTGTTAAACGTAACTAAAGTAAGTAAATATATTTCATAGATGTGTGTATATTATTTTATTTTGATGATATAATATAAACAATATATGTGGTTTGGGTCTTGTTGGCCTATGTGGTTTGGGCTTGTTACCCTTCTACCTTTATTCCAAGATATTATGAAGGGGATAGCACAGTTATTGCTCTTAGGGGGGTCCCATAGTAAACAGGTAAATTTCCCATTTGGCTAATATATGTTTGCTTCCCCTGAGACCGCCGAGAAGAAGTACATCTCTCATCCGGAGTTTCCAGACAACGAGGAGCCTTCTGGGGCGTGAGTATAGAATCATGGTTTCTGCCTCTGGTGTCCGGGGAAGTACCATGTTGATAATGATAATAAATAAATAAATATATATATATATAATGCGTATATATGCATATATATATATATTGTGTAAACATATATTCTATGTATATATATATATATGCATATGCATATACACATATGTACATATGTATGTTTATTATGTTTACCGTGCCCTAGCATATATATATATATATTATACATGTTTGTGTGTCATAACATGTGCTCATACATTACCCATATGTTGCCACCAAATCCATCACCTGTGGTTTTGAGGATATGCGGCTGTACAAAACGTGGGTGGAAACGTATGAGAAGAACGAAGAGATCCATGCAGAAGGTGTGGAGACCAGACGTGAGGCTGAAGGTGACTATGATGGCATGGGGAGCACCCCGATCCCTCCTGGAGATAGCCAAGCAGTCCCAAAAGCCAAGCCAAAACCCAAGCCTAAGTCGAGTGCACCAAAGGTCAAGACTGATGAGCAGTTGGCACGTGCAGCCCCCAAGTGTTAAATCACAAAAAAGTTTTTTGTTGTGAATGTTTGCTATATGTTGCCTGTAGCGTTTGTTTATCCAATCTTGAACTGGTCTGGTACCAACAAGGTTTGTTTACATAATCTGTGCCTCAACTTAGGCTGTGGTAAAGGCAAATGCGAATCTCCTTGAAATTTCGCAGTGGGACTACAAGCTGGCGAACGCCAGTGTGTATCTAATCCAAATTGGTATATGTCAGGTTTCCTTTAGTGTTAGGGTGATAGTTATGATGTTTTTGACTCATCCTTGATATCTCCATTCTACCCTGAATCCACCCATCCTGAGGCCCAAAGTTGTTCGGGATGCTTACGTGAGCAGCATGGAGACTGAGGGCAAGGAGCTCCGTGATGCAAAGACAGCTGTGGAATTGGCGCTGAGTTTGGGGCAGTCCTTAAAGGAACCCACCGAAAAGTTGGAATCTGCGAATGAAAACTACCGAAAGTCAAGTGGCCAAGTCAAGAAAGCATGTGTGGCGCCGAAGGCGAAAGCAAAGGCAAAAGCATCTGCTTAGATGTTTGCTGTCGCAAGCATGCATGACTAGTGGGAATGTTGTGTCTTTCGTTTTGAATGTTGGGACAGCCCTTGTGGTGCACTGATTTTTCAAAGTTTTGATTTTGACCGCTTGGTGCAATGGCTTGCGACATTTTTGTGTATATCCCCTCGACCATGGGATAGCGTTTGCACAACCTGCTGAAAGTACTTGGCCTGGCCGTTGGTTTCATGAACCTAAGCTCGTGCAGCACCAGCATGACTAGTGAAACATGCATCAGTCTTCATGCATGTGCACTATAGGTGAATTTAGATCGTTTGGTTTCGGGGGTGCTGTTGCGACCCGTTTGTGAAGAGTACCGCATACATTTGGTGTGCAACTGTATACGTAGGTGGGAGGGTACTGATGTCAGTAAACCTGTGTGCCTTCTAAATGCTATAGTCCAGACCACTAGGCATTTTTGCTTGATGCAATATGATATAGTTTGATTTTTTGATGAGAAATGTGTTTGTATGTCAGCACGGTCACGGGAATGACATCAGTACGTATACATATTGTTCTCGACGAACACAATCTAGTATGGCACAGGTATGGGACTAACAGCGGGATGGAACAAAAATGCCCGACCACTCTGGTGATCCATCAAAATCAAATTATCCTAAGATCTCTTAATCATGACCACTATCTGTATACACCAAAACTGTATCTATTTCCCAAACGATTATTGCCGCTAAGGGGACCAACATGAAGCATATCTGAGAGGTGTAGGGCCATTTCAAGAAGTAGTGGGTGGTGTTGCCACATCACAGCCCCTTCGCAGGTGACCACAGCTTTGCTGATTTCTTGATTTCTTCGCTTGGCCGTGGTGCCCCTTGGCTATGGGTAGTTCATTGGGATAATTGGGCACTTGACTACTAGGTAGTAATTGTTCACAAAAGTTTTTTTTGTTATCTTGATCGGTGTCCCCCACAGGACCCAATACTTAGGACCCAATTCTTCTTATTCTTTCCAACTTCCACGGCCCACCAAGGCCACCTCTTGCGCGGAGCTTCAAAAAGCAGCTCATGCCTCTGTGAAGGAGGCTGAGGCAGGAGTTCCAATTGGTTAAAATCAAAACATTTTATTTTTAAAAGGTGTGACTGAAAATAGCACACCCCAAAACTATAGTAAATAATAACTAGAAGTTATCTATAATATATATATATATATTCTATGGGATATCTATTTTCAGATAGACCACGATAGACCCATATATCTTAAGTAAGATGTGGCCAATTCCCATGAATGGTTGTAACTTGACCCATACAATTTTTATAACATTATTATATATTATATATATATTATATCTTGATCCCTGCCGCTAGGCCAACAAAGGCGGTCTTAGCAATCTGACAAGAAAAATAGCTAGCCTCGGCAACTGGGGCAAATGGCCACAAAACATTGAAAGAGATCTTACAGTTTTACTTCAGCTGCCAGCGGCGCCCCTTTTCTTGGAGATACCAGTGCGCAGCAATATCAACAGAAAGGATGTTGTTATGGGAAAACTACCTATCATTCCTCCTCATGCATTGTTTCATTACCTGCATGTGTCTTGGTGACTTAAAGATTTAAACAGCACCGTTTTTTTTCTCTAGGGGGGAAAGAAGCATACGAACCCTGATTTTCCTATGAGGTTTTGTTCCTAGTTTCATTGAGCTTGTGTCCGTCCACATTCACCCCCAAAGCTGAATCGATTATAATATCTTGTTTCCCACACATAGACCACAGCTATACAGCAATAGTATCCTTTACCTGGGGGACCGGCTCTAAACACTGATGAGGTAAGTGGAAAATTTCAACGCAATGATGCAGCAATCAGGGAGTTTTGGCAACACACCACCAGATATGGTTGGTTGCAGCGAGGGCACCCAGGTGCTACTGTGAACGCCTGCCCACTTGGTCTTTATGGAGACGACTGTCGCTATAATAAAGCAGGAGAGAAGCTGGTGGTTATCAATTTCAACATGTTACTCCAGGAAGCCAAAAGTTTCTTTCTGCCATTATATGCAAAGCATTTTCAGATTGTAGTGTCTAAGCCGTATGTCTATAGATATTTTTTTCTGAGGGTTTGTTCAATGACCTGGTGAGGTTTGGACTTGTCCCGGTTCCCACTGTTTCTTTTGAGGGTTTCTCGAATGGTGCCAGACTACTCGTTGACACGGGTTTACCAACTCCTGATGTGGAGCTTCAATGTCCCTTGCCTTCATGAGTACATGGGGGTTTCCTAAAATGGGATTATCAAATCATCTACATATATTAATATTATAAGCCATCAGTTTTAGGTACGGTTATCTATGGAAACCCCCATTTTTTTGGTGGAAAATGACCATATATGGGGAAACCAACTTAATAATATGTTGTTCACACACTAGCAGCAATCGCAGGCACTGGCTAGTGGAGTGCACCCTGATGTGGACTTTGAAGGGAACCCGCTCCCACAAACATATGCCCAGCTGAAAGGCAAGCCAATTGCAGGCCTCCAAGAGTGATACGTTATATTTTTTTTGAGGGGGATGGGTGAAAACCACTTGAGTTCCCAGTGCCCACATTATGTTTTGGCAAGGATCAACCCACTTGTAGTTTCCACAGTCCTCAGGTGGCCCGGCGTGGCTATGTGAGTTGCGAGGAGATTGGAAGTGGAGCAGAGAAGCCTTTGCTCTATCCACCCACTGGGGAGCCAGGGAAATTTGCCATCTGTGTGCTGCAAAATGTCCAGCCCATCCAAATGTACAACAGCGGATGCTATGACCAAATTCAATTACATCTTGTTTTGTGATATGCTATATATATTGTATACACAACGACAATGCCAACTATAGCAGGATAGTGATTGAAATGGCTGGGAACCACCAGAATGAACTATATACACCCACCAATGCAGTTTTACTTTTCTTGAGGCCCCCCCTTTCCACTATGACTTCCAGGGTTTATGACTTCTAGGGCTAAAGCAAGTTCACCAATCTGAGGTGGACCAATCTCGACCGGGAATTCCCTAGAAGATCTGCAGTCAATGCCATGGCGTCATGTTTCAAGACCGGTGTTGCCAAAGAAAAGTGTTAAAAGAAAACGCCATGTGTTGAGATTCAATTTTGACACTGCAAGAGTAACAAAAAACAATATCCGGTTCACCCCTTTCCCAACCCTGCAAGGTGGCCACATCCTATTTGCGGATTACCTGGCTTCCAGGTAGCCCAAATTCGATTTTGTTCAATGCATATAGTCAATCTTGGCATACTGCAGAACTTGACGGGCTCTCTTATATCTCTTTTGTTCCAACATGGAATCTTGACCAAAAAAAAGACTTCTTTTGAGATCTATAGCTTAACCCAGCCATCCCCAAATAGAGATCTAATTTGCAGACTGGAATTACGTGATGTAAAGTGACAATCAGGTAGGATTCTCTTTTTGGGGTTTACCACGGGGTTTGTTTTTCCCCACCTGCCAGGTGAGGGTTGTTAGATTTTATCACAGTTGTTCTCCTCCTCCTCCTCCTCTTCCTCCTCCCTCTCCTCCTCGTCCTCCAGCTTCTCCTCCACCACCTCTGCATCCACTTCCATGTCCGCTTCCGCCTTGCCAACTCTTCGCCAACGTCCGCGCGTTGTGGGCACTGCTAGACCTCAACTGTCGGCTTCCAAACGTGGGCACCGCTGGACCTCAACCTGGGACCGTCAGAGCTCAGTGGGCACTGCTGGACCTCAACGGCCAGATAGAATGCCAGAAGATATGCCAGATAAAGTGCCAGAATGTTTGCCAGATAGAACGCCAGAAGATTTGCCAGATAGAATGCAAGATAGAATGTCAGAAGAGATGCCAGAAGATATACCAGATAGAGTGCCAGAAGATATGCCAGAACATATGCCAGAAAATATGCCAGGTAGAATGCCAGAAGATATGCCAGATAGAATGCAAAGGGAGTGGCTGGTATCTATGTGATCTTCACCATGATATGTCATGGTGGGGATCACTCGAAGTAAAGCAATTTATTCAAAACAAATGTTGTTTTTCGCCACCGTTGAGGTTTCTTCGGCCAAGGCAACATGGAAAATCATTTGCGAGAGCTGTCATCAAGATTCCGGGCTTGGGCTAGGGTGACCAAAATTGAGAACTCTAGACTTGCTTAGGAAATTGTTCTATTGTTTTCTCAAAACTTGCTGGGTTGTGAAATTTATACAATCCACCGAAAAGGGTATGGTAAGTATATCTTCTGTTGTTGCTATCTAAGGCACTCACAAGGATTCATATCGTCTGGCATGCTGCACATGCAAGATGGTTACCCCCACCTCACAGTGAAAGCATGGAACGGGCAAGTGCTACTGGTCTTTCTGGATCGCTGTCTTACAGCGCTGGTGGCAGCAGGGGCACAGGACCAAGAGATTCAGCTAGCACACTTGGCGACACGTGCGATGACATGCTGGTTTGACCGCTTAGCGCGATTTCCTCGTTTGTTGAGTCAGGCACAAGGGAACGAGATCTCAAATTTTGGATTTCGATTTTTGCGCCTCTACAGGCAGTTGGCGATTCTGTCAGTACTTCGGAGTGTGGCGCGATGGCGTTTGTTGCCCAAAGTGCACCCCTTTCGGCACATGAACGAAGATATGCGAAATCGGTTGTACAACTATCGTTACTGTCATACCTTTAAAGACGAAGATAATGTTGGCGTCTGCAAGAAGCTTGCAGAACGAGTAGCCAAAGGTGACTTAATGGAATACCGGATCATGACCCGGTTTCTTCTTCGAGTGGGTTCTTGGGTGCCATGAGAAAAACATTTATATATATATTATATATAGATATCATGCATTATATATATATATACATTTCATATTTATATATATATATAATATATTTTACAACATATAGATCTCTTATTAAACACCTAGTGGCCACCACTAATGAGCAAGTATGCACCAGAGTTCCTGCCGAGAATCTCCATGGCACCAGTGATCTTCTCCAGCACGTGCCAAAAACGAAAGGCGCTGGGTTTGAGCGAGGCTTTCTGGGGATTGGGCCCAGGATTTTTGTGATATGTGGCTTTAACGCCACTTAAATCCACTTAATAACCTGTAAGTAGCATGGCCAAGCTACTGATGGTTCACATGATGTTGTTCCAGAATACATTTGGTGGTTGATTTGCACAACTTGTTGGTCCAAATATGGATGGAATCAAATCATGTGTTGTTTCTTAACATGCCCCATGTATCTATTAATTTCCGTTAAAAATATGGTTTCCGCAAATGTACTTAAAATTCTAGGTCGGGACCTATTATACAAGGCCGGGACCTAAAAAACAAGGTTTCCCGCAAATGTCACCATATAAGTGCAACATTCGATCCTCTGGGATTATATAACCAATTTTAACCGTGTTTAACCGTCCTTCACCGTTTTCAGATGGTGGGTGGTTTCAAATATGTTCTACTATCATCTACTAGTCTATCTGAGCCACCGCAAAAACTCCGGCAGTAGGAACCACGTCAGGAACGGGCATTGGCTTCGGACCTTTTACAAACATGAGTTAAGCGAATGGGGACGTTTCCAAATTTGCTGATGCTTTTCGTGAGCACAGAGTTTCCGAGATTGCTCATCTTAGGAGGTAGAGATTCGGAGCTACAATAAGCTATGGGTATCCATTGGTTTTTTAATGGGGAGCAAAGGAGCTACTAAAAGTTTACCATTATATGATATAGATTGATATATAGTATATGTTTCATTTCTTTTGGCATGATGATGTTTCCAAAGACTGCAATATAATTATAATGTTCAAAGGGGGGTGACACCACCATTTTATGGGATATGATATGATGGCAATATTGTGGATGGGATGTTAATTATCAGCAGATCTTACAACTTCAAGAAAATATGTGGAATGAGGATTGAAACAACACAGACTGGCGGTTTAGACAGTGAACATGGGGCATCAACAATCAAAAACTGGAATTTTGACAGGTGAAAAAATATCACGAAAGATCGGGGCTTTAACATGTCATGAACATGTGGATTTAAGTTGGGATCGATACCCAGACATTTTGGGATAGCTAACGGCTTATGGAAGATCACATTGTTTAAAGGTGACACATCGAACTAAATGAGCCATTTTCCACAAAACATGCTAAAATTACCAGAAGGTATTACCTACAGATTCACCATCATAGATGATTTTTCCATTCAAACCTCCATTTTGATGGGGGATTTCCAGCCAGGTCCGCTTGGCAAACTTGGGATCAGAGGTTGATGGCTGCCAAGGGGTTCTGCGCTTCGTTGCGACCTCTGGTGCTGGGGAGTACATGAACCTTGGATAACCTTGGCGTCAGTTGAGTCAGTTGGAGTTAGGGATGGCAACTGGGATGTCTTCAGAGTGTTTCATCCAGCGTTTAATAAGTTTAATATAAAAAGTCATGATAAAGCACCAATTTGGTAGAGAACCATGTTGTTTGCTGTTTCTGCTATTCCCAACGGTATTAAAAGCAAGGCCTCACCCCCCTTGGTGCAATGAGACGTCTTCAGGGTCCTTTACGATTTGTACTCAAATCGCATGTGGAACATATTGCCCTTCCCAAACCGTTTTCCATTTGACGGTCCCAGAATGTCCAAGAACCTGAGATGATGGCAGTGGATCCGGAGAAGATTGCGGAACATCCCGAATCGGAAGAGAAACCGAGAGATCACAAGAGTCCAAAGATCTGGAAACATGTCCTGTTCAAGTTGGTAATATCTATATTATATTTATATTTATATATTTATATAAGTTGATGTATGTTGATTCAAGTGCCGTGTCAGGAAATGCCACGGTTGGTTGGAGGAGGTGGACCCCCTGAGTGGTTCCCCCGTGGCCTGGCGCGACCTCTCCACGGGGCAGACGGAGGGCGCAGCGGCCACCGTGGCCGAGACGGCGGAGGCGCAGCGGCGGCAACGGAGGCAGACGGCCCGGCGGGCGGGATCCACCTATGCGCCCGAATTCCTGGGTTTGTTGGAGGTGGCACTGGTGAAAGATGCCTGGAAGCATTTAAGATATAATATGATATAATGATAGTTATACGGTTAATTGTTTAAGAGCTGATCTGGATGGTGGGAGAGGTTGTTGCAATTTGAAGATTATGTTACTGATGTTGGGTTTGTTGTATGGTGTTTTTGCGCATTAGTGATTGAGATTGTCATTTCTTGACATTGTTGTTGGAAGAGATTCTTTTTTTGGGGCTTGAAGGAGTTGATGGTGAAGAGGCATTGTTGTTGTTGTTGTTGTCGTGGTTGGGATGCTTCAAAACATTTAAAAATCAAACGATAGGATATCTTAGTGAGTGGGATTCACTGGTCAATGATGAAACTGGACTTTGAAGTTCGTTCCAATCACATCCCACAGACTATACTAATCTATATGTCTATGTTACAGCGGTTTGGAAAGATTTTGTCGACGTGCTCTGTAAATTCATACGATTACTAGCCTTGTTAGCATTGTTATTCCTAATTAATTACTATTGTTGCTGTTATTATTTGATATTATGGACATTCTTTAGAACAATATATTTAGCAATGATAACAGTGACACCCGGATAAAAATAACATCACAAGACAAGAATTCAATGTTCACTGCATGATTTGTTGTGAAGCCTGAGGACTGGGCGAACTTTTCGCGCAAGCGACAATGCTCGGTGCCCAAGGAGCTGTTGGTGGCCAGCGAGTTGAAACTGTCCAGCGGCGAGCTGCAGGAAAGTGACAGGTGGGGCAGTGAACATAGTGAATTGTGAGCAAGGATGTTGGCTCATGATGGTTCATGAACATGTGTTTCCCTTAAATTGAAATATTATGCGAATATACGTATATATATATACTGTATATATATATTATAATATTATATATATATTTGTATTTCGACACATGTATGATTAATATATTTATATACACATATTGTATATATATACTGTTGTTGTCATTGGTACTGAGGACTGACACTAGCACATGTTTGGGTGGAATTTTGTTGAGAGATTGGTAGGCGTGATTTCTGGTACTAAACGATATTTTATTTTTATGCTCTACAATGCAGGTATTACGTTGATCTTGTTGCAGTGTTGCAGGTATGCGAGCCAACGATAATGCTTTGCGTTTATCCAATAGTGGCCATGAAAGTAATTTACATTGTTCTCATGTTCTCATGAATCAACGTCATGGAACATAACTTATGAAGTGCTGCCGTGTGAGTGCACTGAGGTGGGTTCGTGCATCTCAAGTTTTAGTATATTCAATGTCACTGGATTGAAGCATCCCCGGTATCCCCCAATTGTAAAGCCATGCCGCCCATGCCTCAAAGAGTTTTCTCTACTTGATTGCAGCTTCCTAAAGCCATCACAGGTTTTTACCCTCTTGGATGTTCATCCCAGTTGTCAAAATTTCTTTATACTTCTAACATCTTCTAACCAGTACTTACACATCACTGTGGTATCCAAACCAATCGCAGCTCCTGGAACCTTACCAGACTGATCCAACAGGAAGCACGACATCAGCAGCAGCGACATCGGCATGTTGGCCTGGCGACTGTTCCTGCGCACCCCGGAGTTCCCTGAGGGACGCTCCCTGGTGTTGATCGCCAACGACGTCACGCACCAAGCAGGTGGGACTTAACATTTGACAAACCACAAGTAGGCATGGAAAGCTAAAAAGGGATAATTACCAAGGGACCTACTAAGGGTAGACATGGGTAGACTCAAGTTATCTCAAGTTACTCAAGTTGCAATTGTTGACTACAGCAGGAATATACAGCATCAAATTGGCAATTGTTAGTGCTAGATCAGCAAATTGCTGGGTTCGATTGATTTGAGCCATGTTTTTTGATGGTCGTTAACCTTTGGTGAATGATTCTGATACCATGGTCACACCATATATGCACAATCTATGATTCTGATTTCAAAGCCATCCTCTCGAAGCCGGTTCTTCCAGGTTCCTTCGGTGTGGCAGAGGACCAGTTCTTTAAGAAAGCCACGGAATACGCGCGGCAGCGGGGCTTGCCACGGGTCTACATCGCCTGCAACAGCGGTGCACGCGTCGGGCTGGTGGATGAGATCATTCCCAAGCTACAGGTCCAATGGAAAGATGCCAGCGACCCATCCAAGGTGCATGGCATGTTTACGTAAAGGATCACATATGATGTAGGAATATGTAGGATGTTGGTTTGAAGACATTTGAGAATCCATATGAATTGAATTGAATTGAATTGTTAGTATTCTATAAGTTTCCCCTTGTTAGTTTTCAGGGTGCCCCAATACGTCATCTACCGGCACCTTCAAATCATGATCAAGTAGGGCCCGCAAAAATCAGATGAATAACATCATAGTACAACATCACAAAGATCTAAAAACGTTTAAGATACATGTTCTCTTTACCCTGCAGGTCATAGTTCCACTGATTGGTGGTTTGGATCATTTTATATTTTCCCCAATAGTTGGGATTATGATCCAATCTGACTTTCATATTTTTCGGGGGGTAGGTATACCACCAATTAGTTCCATCATGTTCCATATGCTTTTCATGTCATATACCCTCTGGTAAACTAACATAGCTATGGAAAATCACCATTTTTAATAGGTAAACCATCTATAAATGGGCCATTTTCCATGGCTATGTTAAATAACCAGAGGGTATGTTTCACATTGTTTCACCAGGGCTTCGACTTCCTTTACCTCACCGAAGCGGACTACCAGAGCCTACCCTCGGGCGCCGTCATCGCCACCTTGGTGCCGGAGGTGGGCTATGCCCTGGAGGCGGTGGTGGGCTTGGGCTGCCGTGCCTCGGTGCAACAAGGAGGACATCCGGTGACATCCGGTGACCATGGAAAATCCATGGAAAAGTCTGGGAGATCAATGGAAAATCCATGAAATATCTCATGAACAAATATGAAAAACATGAGAATCAGGGAAGATCAAAGTGAAAGAGAACATGAAAGTGGGGGGAAATGTAGCTAACTAGTCAGTGTTTCGAGGCAGCGAGGCAAACATGAGTTTCTTTATTTTCTTATGAACGGATTTCATCCTTTGTAATGTTGCAGGTGGTGTCTACTTGCAATTGTGAGTTGAGTATGCGCTGCAGTGTGCACTTGTTTCTTTGACTCTTGCTACGGTGCAGTTGCCTCTATGTACTAGTCGGGGCACTTGAAATGTGGTCACTGGAAACAGTTTCAACATCACGCTTCAACGCTTGAATGCTGGTCTACCCTCCTACTGGGGTTCTTGACAGAGGCAAGATAGGGAACCCATTGGAACCCTGCACAATGGTGACATTTTTTTTGTATGCATAAAAGTTGGTGATTTTGCTACTGCTATGATCACATGCTGCCAGGTTCCATCGATGGCGGCATCGGTGTGGAGAATTTGCAGGGCAGTGGCTCCATCGCGGGCGAGACGTCGCGAGCATACAACGAAGCTGGTTGCAGGTTGGTGCTGATTGATGGTGCTTCATGCAGTAAACCCAACAGTCAAAATCCAAGCTTCATGTTAAAGGTCAATCAACCATGATACACAACTGATCCACACCGATACACTCACCAAATAATTAGATACGTTTTTGTTGATTGGTTTTATTGCAATATATTGCCATATGTCTATATCCATGACTTTGGAAGATGAGTGCAACTGCGATCAACTGAAACTGAGTTTATATGTTTCTCAAATGCGCTGAGAGTGTCTTCCACTCTGCTCGCAACATTTTCATGATGTACAAACTTGACTAGCTGGTTGCCTAGCTGGTTGATGTATACATACTATTATATACTTAAGTGTCGACCCCTATTTGATTGCACTCAGAGTGACATGTGTTTTGCATGATTCGAACCAACCAACATGAAACAAATTATCCAAAGAAGTTCCTTTTCATATCCCTAGCATACAATAACATGATGGGATATTATGGGACTGCATTGGACTGTACGATTTCTGGAGTTGAACTCAGGGAAATTCCTCAGCTGTGTGCAGCATGTGTGCGTCCCTAATTGCCATGGCTGAGTACAATGATGTACAAGGTATCTGCAGTATCCCAATGTATCCTCATTTTAGCCCATTGGTTACTCAGCTGAGCATGTGCTCGCCAGTGACTGGCCCATCTCAGGACATTTTCACCTTGTCCTACGTCACTGGCAGATCCGTGGGCATCGGTGCGTATCTGAACCGCCTGGGACAACGGGTCATCCAATCGGTGGATGGGCCCTTGGTACTCACTGGCTATGGTGCTCTCAACAAGTTGCTGGGGAAGAATGTCCCCTGGAAGAAGACACATGTTTTGTACATAATTGTCATGCTGATTCTTGCACATTTTCTCATCAGGGACAAAGTGAACGGGGGGTCCAACTGCATCAAGTACACATGTTGACACTATTTTATGTGTAAGTTGGGAAACCATACTTTTTGATAACTTTTTGATAGTGGGTTTGGTGCTTGGTTCCCTCTATTAAAAAAACGATCGTCCTGGATTCCAGACCCATTGGGGTTCATTGGTCCAGCCTCCAAGGTGTATTTTTCGCAAGACCAGCTTGGAGGACCCCAGATCATGGTTCCCAACGGCATCACCCACCAGCTGGTACAAAACGATCAGGAAGGTGCTGAGGCAATTCTGAAGTGGCTCTCCTTTGTTCCCAGGGATACCTGGTCCCTGCCGCAGTCTGTAACTTCTTTGGACCCTCCTGAACGATTGGTGGAATTTAGACCCACGAAACAGGCTTACGATCCTCGGCACATGTTGGCTGGAACGACAACTGACAATGGCAAATGGCTTTCTGGTTTCTTCGACCGAGGAAGTTTCGTTGAATACATGGCTGGTTGGGGCCGAAGTGTAGTAGTAGGTCGAGCACGCTTGGGGGGCATCCCCATGGGTGTGATAGCAGTCGAGACCAGGAATGTTGAAAGGAGAATACCTGCTGATCCCGGCAATCCAGAGAGTAGAGAGATTGTCGAGCCTCAAGCAGGGCAAGTGTGGTTTCCTGACAGTGCCTACAAGACAGCCACAGCCATACGGGACTTCAATGTGGGCGAAAATCTTCCTTTGATGATCTTTGCCAATTGGCGTGGTTTCTCTGGAGGAACTCGAGACATGTACGGAGAAGTCTTGAAATTCGGAGCTCAGATTGTGGATGCCTTGGTGGATTACAAACAACCCGTCTTCATTTACATTCCCCCGGAGGGCGAACTCCGTGGGGGGTCCTGGGTAGTGGTGGATCCAGCCATTAATCCCGATGTCATGGAGATGTACGCCGATCAAGACAGCAGGGGTGGGATTTTGGAGCCGGCTGGTAGCTTGGTGCCGACTAGTGCGGGAAGTCTGGGAGTCATCAACAATTTACATAAGTTTAAGAAGGGAAAAAAGAGATTGTGAACTATGTATACAAATATGGCTTATATTCCAAGTGAATCCAAACGAGTCAAGTTTTTTGATTTCTTCAAATTATCCTTTATTTCACCGTCACCAGACATGAATCTACTGAGTTTGACTCCTGTTCAGGCATAATTGGGCAATATGGTATATCCATTGTATATCCATTGAATATCCCTCAATATCCCCAAACTTCACCCATCCTCCATCCATCACCGCATCAGTGCCCCCTTGCCTCAGGCGTGGTGGAGGTGAAGTTCCGCGCGGCGCAGCACAGGGAACTGATGCATCGCCTGGATGAGCAGCTACAGCAGCTGGATGAGCAGATGAGCCTCGAGCGCTGGTGAATTGCTGGTGGGTGATTTTAACATATTTTAAACACGTTTGAACATTGATTTGGAGCTATAAATTGTTGGGATATTCATATGATATATGAGTGGAAAGAACAGATAGATGCCATGATCATGATGGCAGCAGGAATGTTTAGTGACCCATGGCAAATGGTAACCAATCAGAATGGTATTGGAAGGATAACTATCAAAAGCATTTCAAAAGCCCTTTTGAAAAGGTCAGGTATCCAAGGTTTGCAGACTGGTAGTGACAAGATGGCCATAAGAGATGACTTCGAGGAGTTTCAACAATTATGGGTGATATGCCATTCTTGCAGGACAAAGAAGCCATGCTTTTCCCAGCAAATCACACCAGCATATATCTCACCAGATGTGCAAACAAGATTGGGAATATGTTGAAAATTGCTTTGCCGTGTTGCATCCTATGTTTTTACTTCGTTTGCTGTACTTTCGTTGGCCAACGAATCTATCTAGTACCCCAACTGCTGGTTCAGTATCCCATCCCCCAGTCAATGATCATCAACCCTTGCCTTGGGTCATCAGGAAGACGTCACCTTCCGAAGAGGTACCCTGGCAGCAAGCACGCAGAAATGCAGCATGTTAGGTTTGTGAGTTTTTCTAAACATTGCACCAACTTACCAATATTGAACCAACAACAATGGAGAGATTAAGCAAAACATCTCAAATATACGTTATAAGTTATAACGCATACAACCAGAGGAAATGTGAACTTGAACTGTTGGAACTCAAACATGGCCAGGAATCTCGCTGGAAAATCATCCAGATTTTGGGGGTTGATTCAATTCTGCTTCGGTCATTTCAGCCTATGTGTTTTCTTTTTACAGTACTCCAAGATATTTCAAGAACATGTTCAAGGTTGATTTTTTTTCCAGGGTCTAGGAGAACAGCCAGTGAAGGGTTTGGTTCAAGCGCTTGAAGCTGGGACCAACAGATTGTGTTCAGTCAGAGTTCAAACATCGATTGTCTCAGCCCAAATTTGACCGGTGCATTGATGGGCTCCTGTCTGAAACAGTTGGATTGAAGAAACGTCGAATGTTCCTGGTCCCAATTAGCTCTGATCGGCCTGAGCTATTGGTAGTTTACCCCAAAGGAATTGTACACAGATGTTTCTATCGTTAGTATTGGTACCTCAAGTTTGACCCAAACCATCCAATGCCCTAAAAGAATGAATCATTTTAAGCTACATCCCCATTACCTTTGCTAGTCAAGTCATCTCAAATCCCCATTGTTTTTGTCCCAAGAAAGAAATCCGTGTTGTAATGACATTCTCACTACCTTACTATCTATCCCCAAACATCTTCCAACAAATCTTCAGAGGCCACGGAAAATCACGATTTTACCAACCCTAAATCCATCCAAATTCATCAAAATTCATCAGTGAATTGTTCCATCAAAAGCCAACAACCTGGTGGGGTTTCCCGGGGGTTTCCCGGGTTTTCCCAGGTACAACAGGAGATCCAGGCCCGAGAAGAGATGCTGCAGCCACTCTACACCCAGGTGGCCTGTGAGTTCGCTGACCTCCACGACCGTGCGGGGCGCATGAAGGCGGTGGGCGCCATTAAAGAGAGTACCTTGGATTTTGTTTTGATGCATGTTTTGGCAAAAATGAACCTATATGAACATTATGTTTCTTTGGTGTTTACTGGAAAAGTTTGGGATGATGTTTTTGTTTCTTGTACCCCTTTTTTCTGTATCTTATGATCTTAGTGATTATTTAATTTTTTTTTTCACGGTTCAGGTGTCAATAGTACATAGGATATTCTTGCATTCAGAAAACACATATTTCTATATGTTCAGCAAATGGACATGATCAGCGCGTGGGTTGATGGGGTTGACATGGATGATCATGGATGTACATACTGCCTCAAACTTGCCAGAATTTCTTCATACATGTTGATGCAACGGGTCTGTCAACGATTTTCCAGCCACTGGTTTCCCGTCCCCCTGAAAGATGCGGTTGCCAGCTTTCAGCAGCACCACCTAACCACCAGGCTCTGGAATGTGTATAGGGACTAGTTGCTTTCTTAAGGTCTGGAGTGGCACTCTTCGCGCGAGTTCTTCTATTGGCGCTTGCGGCGGAGCCTGTTGCTCGGATATGAGTCGAAACTAGTGCCTCTGAAGTTGCATGGTTTCTAAACGCGTTTGACCAGGGAATAAACATGTGGGTCCAGGCACTTTACAAATTCTAGCGTATATTACATCCATGGTTCGAAGCATTGCATCAAGAAATGAATCATGGATTCACACCGAAGGGATCCAAAAAAGCAGTACGATCGAGGCAATGTCAAGACGCAAGTCCCAGGGGAAAAGTCATTATTTTGAAGCACTGTCGGGGCTGCTCCAAGCTTCATAGCCAATATGATGATCACATAGGGGGTTTCTGGAAATTAGATATGAAGTCAAGTAGAGGCGTACTTAAGATGCCTTGAGTCCCGCCCACAGAAAAATGACATGTCACTAAGTACGGCGTACTTAAGATGCCTTGAGTCCCGCCCACAGAAAAATGACATGTCACTAAGTACGGCGTACTTAAGGTGCCTTGAGCCCCTCCCACAGAAAAATGACATGTCACTAAGTACGGCGTACTTAAGGTGCCTTGAGCCCCTCCCACAGAAAAATGACATGTCACTAAGTACGGCGTACTTAAGGTGCCTTAGGTCTTAGACTTTGCAATTGCTTAGTGCTTTCTTTCCCAATGGGAGAATCCTCGGAGAACAAGGGGGACTTACAATATCTTACAATCATCGGGCCTATCGACCGCTCCTGAAGTCTCTGCGCGTTTCAACCGCAAGGCTGGAGAAAGGCCTCATCCGCGACTTGCGCGCAGCGGATTCTGCCATGAACCAGCCAGTGGCCATGGCCACTGTACAGGCGTGGTTGAAAGAAGACGCTGGGGGCAGCTGTAGCGATCGAAGAGCGGTGGAACTGCTCCAAGAGACTTGGTATCAATTTATAATGGAAACATATGGGATCTTGTGGATATATGTCGAACTTGGGGTAGCAATGGAAGCACACTTGTGTTGCTTCATGTTTTTCCATTATTTTTCTCAGTATTCAACCATTATTTTGGGCGTCCAACACCTTTGAGATTGGGGAAACCAGCAACAGGTGGGAATCCTGCATAAAACAACTCAGATATGACCAACAACCAACGGGGATTTAACCAGTAGATGGAGAGAAGGGAAAAAAAACACTGGTTGGCGTTCAAAGATTGTTTTTCAGTGCATCGTACCTGAGATGGTGATCCCAAATCAAGATCAATTGGAGTTATATAATACCATGTTATACCAATAAATTACAGAATATATATATATATATTATGCCAATTGACTTCAGAGCTTCTGTCCAATCACAATCCATCTATTGTATTTTCTCCTGGCTTCACTTCAAGGCGATGTCGGCGAAAGAGAAGGTCCGCAGCGTTCATGCCAAGGCGGTGAAGCGACAGTTCCATGAAGTTCCCTGGATCTGACAGGCTGGATGTACTGAAGAGTTAAGACGAAAGGTTTTGAGTGAAATCATAAATCAGTAACCTGGCACCGGACCAAAGCAAAGACGCCCCAACAAGAATCAGCTTTGGTCAACATTCAGAACTGGACATTGTTTCCTTACAAAGCATTTTGTTCAAGTTACTTCAACTGCCCACAAAAGCATTCTAATTCCAACCTCAGCCCCCAGGATTTTTGTGGGGTTCTCCCAGGGGTTCTCCCAGGGGGTCTCCCCGGGTTTCTGCCAGGGGTTCTCCCAGGGGTTCTCCCAGGGGTTCTCCCAGAGGGGTTCTCCCAGGGGTTCTCCCAGAGGGGTTCTCCCAGAGGGGTTCTCCCAGGTTTGCGATGAGTTGGTCCGTTCCGGGCAACTGGGTTCGCTGGGCCGCTGCTTCTTCCGCTGCCTGGTCCCCAACCGCGCTGACTGCGCCGTTCCTCCGCTTCGAGAGGAGACGCCGGCACCACGGGTGACACCGGCACCGCTGCCGGGCTTGTTGGGAAAGGTGCAGGTTGAAAAGAAACCGGCCTAAAGTGCTGGGAGGGCCTTGGACCATGAAAAAACATGGAAAAGCGGTAATTAATTTTATATCCTTAGTGTTTATCTTTATAGACGTATGACATATCATATGTATATATATATATATACGTAGCATTATTATATAGCAAACTCATGCATGTTGTTTGATCAATAAGTTATGGTTTGGATAAATTTAGGCTTTGGTTCTGCGTGGCTCATGGCTGCAGCTCTCAGAGGAACCGAGGTTTTTCTCCATCGAACAGATGTGGGCTCACTGTACAGAGATTTTTTGCCCAGACAAACTGCGGCACAAGTAGGTCCACAGGGGAAGGGCAGACTCGCCCACAAAAGTCTTGGAGAGTTTGCAAGTCCTCTGAAAAGCACCTGCAGAGATGCTGTAAATGCAGAAAAAATCTTATCCAGGTGTTTGATCCGAAGTTTGGGTGGTAGAAGAACAATAGAAGAACTCTATTTTTTATTGTTTGCTCTATCTGCTCTTACATAGTGCGGGTGTCTATCCAAAACGGGCGAATCATGTCGGGCCTCGGCTCTTGACGTTACCGTAGGTTACTTCGCTCATTTTCCAGCAGATTTGGACTGGCTAAAGGCAGTGGGTCCGACCTGCACAGTGGGTAGCATGATCTCTGCTGGTCCATGCAACAAGATTTGCACCAGTTCTGAATGTCGGTTTCAGATTTCCTAGTAGATATTCGATCTTTATACATTTTGATAGTTTTTGTATGTGTTTGTACATGCTTGTCATTTGCTTTGCTTTGATAAACTTGACTGAGAGCTTTGAGATGGGTTGCTCAACCACTGACGCGACAAACCAAAGCATGATATACATGGATGACTTCTCCACGTTACTCACCCTTCAGTCGGCACGAGAATGTCGTGTTCTACAGAGGGGTTTCCTCTTGCTGTGTGCAATAGCTTTGCCCGGTGGAAGTTTGAACATCGTGTCCGCGTCACAGGACGTGAAATGCCTTTGGCGTGGATAGGATAGCCTGGAAAGTTGTTTGGTCTTGGAGAACATCTAGGCTTGTGTATGATTGTGTATGTATGTCGATTATGTCGTAAACTGATCTAGTAGTAATCTTGCTGGGACGTTCCTAGTGCCCTAGTGCCAGTGGGAAGATTTGATCCTTAAACGTGTCAACGCTCTTGTTCTGCATGGTAGATGGATCTTCCTGTCTGTAAATCTCATTCAATTCTATAGTATCGCTTGGTTGACAAATTTGGTGCTGATTCTTCACTGCCTATGGGATTCGGTTCAATTTGTGGATCCCCAAACTCGATGGTCTCTGTATTTTGTATCTTAAATGGGACGGCGATCTAACATGATTTAACGGGATACGTTTATATATCATTGTTTATCTATTTGAGTTGAGAACACATATAATAACTGCTGATATAACTGCT